GTGGTGGATGGAGCCCCCTCTGGTGGAGTGGCCGAAATCGGCAAGCGGCGCTTCGAGCTGGAGGACACCGTGGCCATAGCCGATGTGCCCACAAAGCGCAAGGTCCCGATCAACAGTCGCCTGGGTCCGCGGGTCAATCCGAACATGCAGCAGCACAACAGCTCGCTTGAGTTGCGGAAAGTGCCGCGAGGACTCAACACCATAGCTCATTTGAACAATCACTTTGCCAAGTTCGGGAAGATCGTCAACATCCAGGTGTCGTACGAGGGTGACCCAGAGGCTGCCATCGTGACCTTCTCGACGCACGCCGAGGCGAATGTGGCCTACAGGAGTACGGAGGCTGTGCTCAACAACCGGTTCATCAAGGTCTTCTGGCACAACGAGAGTACGGGAGCGGAGGGCGGACAGATGAATCCCATGGGCGGCGGTGCCATGGGTGCCGGTGGCGGCGGCGGGAGGAAGAACGCCAGTCAGTACCATTTACATAATGTCCCCGCTGTGCCCACTCCCAATGCGGACAGTGCGAAGGTCAGCAATGCCACGCCTCTGGCAGAGGCGGGGGCGGGCAACAATGCCACGCCGACGGCAGAGCAGGCCAGCACTGCAGCGCCCGCCTCGATGCGACTCAAGCTAAACACCAGCGCGGGAGCAGGCGGCGTCGGCGGAGCTGGGGCAGCAGCAGGAGGGGCGGTAGCAGCTCGTCCGCTAAATCCGTCGGCCAATGCGGCCAGCATTCGAAAGAAGCAAGAGGAACAGCAGAAGGCCGTGCACCAGCTAGCCAATGGGCTTCGCAAGCGCAAGCAGGAGCTGCTCCAGAGCTACGTGAAACAAATGAAGACCGCACTGGAGCTGGTCGAGCGGCTGGATAACCAGGATCCCCAGCGGGCGAACACACTGGAGACAATTAAAGTCCTGCAGGAGACCATCGACAAGCTGCGCAAAGATGTCCATGCCGATCAGGACCAGCTGCAGGCCCAGATCCAGCAGCAACAACAGCCGCCCGTCAAGAAGACCAAAGAGCAACAGAAGAAGGAGCTGCTCGACATGGAGCTGGAGCTCTTCGCACAGCAGCAGGAGGGCAACGATACAACGGCCATACAGAAGCGTCTCGAGGAGCTCCAGCGCACACTGGGAGGGAGCCAGGCCCCAAACAACACGAAGGCCCCCCACTTTGCAGCCACACCGGGGGCAGCAGGTGGTGGCCGCAAGCGGGCCAACTTCCCGGAGGGCTCCACGCGTGTTGACAGAAGAACAAAGGCTATTGTTGTCACGGGCTTTGCGGCCGAGGAGGCAGACTTTGTCCTGGGGCACTTTAAGGTAGGTCTTTTCGAGAGCGGCAAGTGTAGAGTCTAAGAGGAGTCTTAATTACTCTTACAATCTCTTATAATACAGAACTTTGGTGAGATTTGCAAGCATGATGTAGATCGTGAGATTCCACAGCTAATACTCTCCTATGCGACCCGCATCAATGCGGAACAAGCCGTGCACCGTGGAAAAATGTACCAAGACAAGCTTCTCCAGGTGTGTAAAATGTTCAAATTGCATTTATATATAGATATATATTATCTAGTAATATCTGAAATCGTAGATTACTTGGGCGCCCGTGGTGACGCCCACGCCTGCACTGATGGCTGCACCCGCCGAGAAGTCTGCAGCGCCAGCTCCAGTGGCCGTTGCAACTCTGGAGAACCCAAAGCAATTGATTCAGTCCGTCAGCGAGAGCGAGAGTCTGCTGGGCAGCGACACGTTGCCGGAGCTGCGTCTCGAGGACGAGGAGGAGGACGAGGAGTCCGAGGATCGTTCCTGGCGTCGTTGATGCACCGCCCTGCGCTGCTAAGTGCTTTGGCGGCAAGCTCCAAGTGGCTCATAAGTGTTAGGCACCCTTAACATGTATTTGTTGTTATTCTATATCTAAAACTAATGATTCAGTGTGTGGAGAAGCAAGCAGAGCTGTGCAGGCGGCAGCCAGAGAGATGGAAGGTATGAGGATGGGGATGGGCCACTCCACCTGCACTAGCAAACTTTGAATATAATTAAACGCTCTAAATTTTACTAATATTTTACTGAATATAAGTTATAAATCGCATACAAATACCGAATGAGTTTTGCGAATCCCACGTCTAGAAATTGTCAATGTTTGGCCGTCAGCTACTCCATCAACAGGCAACAGCAGGCAAATAGAATGACAAATCATGGAATGGTGGAGCAATTCGACTCGGATCACATCGGATCATCCAATACTTTGTATTTACATATTTTTCACTCTATCCTTTTCTTATATACACGTATATATGTACGTATGCCTATATATGTACACACCTAATTGTTAAGATTTTATGTTGAGTTAAAGCTAAAGATAAAATACTAAAACAACACAAAAAAATTGCAAAACAAAAACCCCTCAAAAACAAGCGCAATGAAAAGTCAAAGGCAAAAACAAAACAAAGAAAAAAAAAACACGCAGCCACGTGAATACAAAACCGGCAAGTTATATAGAGAGATATAATAAATAAAGTAAATAGTTTCGTATTTCCGGATCGTAAAGACTCCTCATTTTAATTGGGCCCAACAACATGGGATCGGTAAAATCGGTACAAAATCTACTCGTTTGGCGCTTGAAATTGCATATATGTACATACATATGAATCTTTTTAAAAAGTCTTTACGGCAGCAAGTATATTTAGTTTTATTAGTAATTCTAGGCTTCAAGTCGAGCACTTTAGCGGGGTATTCTTTCCCAAATGTGAGGGAGAATACGTTCCAATTTTTCCTGAGCTATTTTACAGAATCTGCAAGTCCACCAGATTCAATTCATATTTGATGTAAGTGTCCCTTGATTTCGTATTGATTAGCTCTCAATTTCTTGAATTAAATGACGATCGATTAAATCGCAACAGCTTTATGTCAGCATCCAGCTTATATTAACATTTGTATGGTTTATACCTTATCCATCCATTTATGGGCTGGTCCATAATAGCATTTTCCCAAAGAGCTCATCTAAGGGGGAATATAATGTTGCAGGTCTGTGTTTAATTTCGCCCGCTAAAATGTTTACTTTGTTATTAAAATAATGGAAAATTGGGATTTATGCAACTAATATATCGAACTACCGTACCATAAAGTATATATGTATGTACATAGTTGTGTAATACTTGCGCACCAAATTTGAAATCATTTGTCCTTTCAAAGACAGAACCTGAAGGTCACTGTCCAACATTTTCTGCAATTTTCTAGATATTATTACAGTGTAACATCAAGTAGGTTTGCATGTCTCCTCTCTGAGGAAAGTGTGCTCACTCTTTCAATCCAAACGGTTCTTATCACTTTAAAGCGATTTTCCGAAAGAGGTGCGAAAGGGAACATCAATAAAAATAGCACTAACATCGCTGATATTTTAAGATTCATGTACAACTACTGGTTTATTAGAGAAAGAAGGATCCAGTCAAGGCATGGGGCAAAGCAAATTCAGTATGCAAAACAGCACTTCAGTTGCCCCAAAGAAAAATGAAGGAGCATCCTGTAGCCCGACAAAGGCCAACATATTTTTATGGAACAGAAGGAATCGTTTCCGACCCCATAAAGTAAATATATATCTTGATCAGCATCAACAGCCGAGTCGATTGAGCCCTGTCTGTCTGTCCATCTGTCCGTCCCTATCGGCGCCTAGTGCTCAAAGAGTATAAGAGCTAAAGCAACGACATTTTATATCCGGACTTCTGTGATATGTCACTGTTACAAGAATATTTCAAAACTTTGCCCCGCGCACTGCCGCTTCCACAAATCGCAGAAACTATTAAGGCTAGATTAACCAAATTTGGTATCCGCACTCCTGTTAGATCTCACTATAAAACGTATATTTCAAAATTTCGCCATACCCTCTTCCGCTCCCACAAAGGACAAAAATCTGTTGCATCCACAGATTCATGCATATTGCAGATTCGAGAAAACTAAAAACGCAGAATCATAGATAACGACCATATCTATCAGATTGCTGAATCTGGATCAAATCAGATAATTTTTATAGCCAAAAGGAACAAATCAATTTGCACTGGCTACGCAGCGCCCGACGTCACGCTCAGACTGATTTTCTATCTCTCTCGCACGCACTCTTTGTCGTGTCGTTTAATATTAGCGGCGTCTGACGGAGGAGAGCCATACTGACTTAGTATCGGGTATAACTGTAGAGTTGCGGTGTCCGCAGCAACTCACAACGTTCCCCCTCGTTTTAGTTGAAAATGGTCTCGATCTTATGTAAGACGACTACCTAGTGCAGAATACAACACCCTGACTCATATGTAAAACCATTAAGTATAGAGGAACAAGCATCATGGTATGGGCATAATTTTCGTGTTAGATCGTACTGCTGATCCAATAGATTGCACAAGTCGAGGAAGGATCAGATAAGACACAGTGATGTTGCTTTATGCGAAATACCGTTATTTTGTGTCTTTCAGCAGGACAATGACCCAAAACATACCAGAAAGAAAGCTTAAGTTTGGTTAACTCAATTCATGGATTTTGAAACTTTAGTGCTAATTTTCCTCCAATATTAGTCTAACAGCTATCTTTCCTGCATGACCGCGTAACAGCCTTCTGCTGGTGTCACACGGGCCACTTGACGGTGCAGTAATTGCATCGCCTCTTGAACGATACAGTCATTGCATGTCAACGTCCATTAAAAGGTCGTGCCTTTTTTGTCTAAGTATACGGCTTCATCTCAAGAAGACTTTTCATCCAGTATTATTTTCCGCCATCTAATTCAAGTTGCTCACTTTTTGAATATAGGGGTATAAAGTTCCTTTATTTTGTATAGTATTTTTGAGTATTTTCTAATATTTTCCAGTATTTTATCAATTCCCGACAGGTGTCTCTTGTAGTGATTATGTAGCACATGTGTAGTTATCGTGTAGTTAACATGTACATTAACTAACATTTTGGTGGGCGCGATTAAATGTGTTTGGTTTTTTTTCTTCGAATCATTATTGAATGACAGCGGTTTTAAAATGTTTACGCACTGCCCGGTACGCCAAAAATTATCGTTACTACGCTAAGCAAACAATAGAAATGAAATTTCTAAACGTAGCCGAGAAGAACGATGCGGCCAAGACGATTGCCGGCCTGCTCTCGAATGGGGCCGCAAATCGGGTAAGTAGCCAATATTAGGGTTTGGATATATTTATACAAATACTATGCTTACAGCGCGAAGGTTATTCCGTGTACAACAAGATCTACGACTTTGAAGCACCAGTGCGCGGTCAGAATGCCAAAATGGTCATGACTTCGGTGTCGGGGCACCTGATGCAGCTAGAGTTTCAGGTGTCCTACCGGAACTGGCGCGTCGTGGACCCGGGCTCCTTGTTTGATGCACCCGTGCGGAAGTCCGTGGGTGAGAGCTATCTGCCTATCAAGAAAACCCTGGAACGCGAGGTTCGTGGTTGCCAGGGGCTTATCATTTGGACGGATTGCGATCGCGAGGGCGAGAACATTGGCTATGAGATAATCAGTGTGTGTCGAGCCATAAAGCCGAATTTAACTATTTATAGAGCCAGCTTTTCGGAGATTACGACTATTGCAGTGCGGCGAGCCTTGCAGCAGCTTGGCCAGCCGGACAAGCGGCAGAGCGATGCCGTAGATGTACGGACTGAGCTGGATTTGCGCACTGGTGCGGCCATAACTCGCTTTCAGACCATGCGTCTGCAACGGCTGTTCCCCGAGAAGATAGCGGACAAGCTGATTTCGTACGGAAGCTGCCAGATTCCCACGCTGGGGTTCGTCGCAGAGCGGTACAAGGAAATAGAGGCGTTTGTCTCCGAGCCCTTTTGGAAAATCAGAGGTAGGTGCATTCACTTCTTCGAAGGCTTTTTCTCATCTTTATTCAATATAGTTCTCCACACCATCGAGGACCTCACTGTCGAATTTAACTGGGCGCGAAATCGTCTGTTCGACAAGGAGGCCTGCGAGAACTATCTCCTGCTCTGCCTGTCGGAGCCAGAGCCCCGGGCCACCGTCGAGAGTGTCACAGTCAAGCCGAAGCACAAGTGGCGGCCCACGCCCCTGGACACTGTAGAAATGGAGAAGCTCGGCTCGAGGAAGCTCAAGCTGTCGGCCAAGGAGACCATGACCATAGCAGAGAAGCTGTACAGCAAGGGCTTCATCAGCTACCCCCGCACAGAGACGAACCAGTTCTCCAAGGAGTTCGAGCTGGCCCCGCTCGTGCAGCTGCAGGCAGGCCACAGCGACTGGGGAGCCTTTGCGCAGCGCGTGCTGGACTGGGGCCCAAACCCGCGCAACGGCAGCAAATCGGATCAGGCCCATCCCCCCATACACCCCACCAAGAGTGCGGACAGTGAGTAAATCAACAGAATTTTTCTGTTCAGAAGAGTCGTACATTCTGCATCCACATTTCCCCTGCAGATCTTCAGGGAAACGAGGCGCGCGTCTACGAGCTGGTTGTGCGGCACTTTCTCGCCTGCGTCAGCAAGGACGCCGTCGGCTCAGAGACTGTCGTGAACATAGACATCGCGGGGGAGAAGTTCACCGCCAATGGACTGGTAATCCACGAGCGCAACTATCTGGACGTGTACGTGTACGACAAGTGGAGTGCCAAAAGGATCCACCACTACGAGCGGGACCAGCGTTTCGAGCCTACGGAGGTGTCGTTGCACGAGGGAGCGACCACTGCTCCACCCCTGCTGACCGAGGCGGATCTCATAGCGCTGATGGAGAAGCACGGCATTGGTACGGACGCCACGCACGCCGAGCACATCAACACCATCAAGGAGCGCGGATACATTGGGGTGCTGGACAAGGGCGCTCTGGTGCCGGGTGTCATTGGCATGGGTCTGTACGAGGGCTACGACGCCATGGAGCTGGCCCTGGCCAAGCCCCAGCTGCGCGCCGAGTTCGAGGCCGATCTGAAGCTCATCTGCTTGGGCCAGAAGGACCCGCAGCTCGTGCTCACCGAGCAGATAGCCAAGTACAAGCTCTCCTATCAGCAGATCACTGACAAGATCACGGCCATGGACGCCAAGATATCCGCACGCATCAACGAGGCACCAGCGGCCACCCCTCCAGGCCAGCCAGCAGTCGGCCACAATCAGCTCACAATGCAGACGCTCTTCCAGTGCCCCAAATGCGATGAGGCCCCGCTGGCCCTCAAACCCAAGAAGAACCAGCAGGGCTGGTACATCGGCTGCAACAACTTTCCCGACTGCAAGAACGTCGTCTGGCTGCCGGAGGAGTGCAAGGAGGTCTCGGTGCTGGACGAATGCTGCCCCACTTGTGGAGCTGGCCACCGCATGCTCAAGTTCCGCTTGAGCACGCCCTACTACCGGGGTGTCTTCAATACGCCCCATGGATGGTACAAGACCTGCTTGCCCTGCGACGGCCTCTTCCGGACCACGTTCAACATTAATTTAGATTCGGTGAAACGTGTGGGCGGTATTGTAGGAGCGGCAGGAGGTGGAGGTGGTGGCCCTGGAGGCGGAGGCCCCGGAGGTGGTGGTGGACCCGGTGGCGGAGGCCCTGGGAGAAGAGGTCCTGGAGGAGGTAGTAATCCCTCAAATGCTGGCGCTGGGAGAGGAAACGGCCCAGGAGATGGATCTTCTACCGCCAAAGCACCAGCCAAAAACAAGAAGTCAGCCCCCGAACCCAAGGCAAAAAAAGCCACAAAGACCACTGGAAGCATTCGCAACTATTTCAGCAGTTCCAGCAACCCGGACGGTGCAGGCATGGATGGATTCTTCGACAGCAACGATGGCTTCGAGGAGGCCATGGTGGCGGCCGTGGACATCGTTGAGTCGGGCTATGTCCAGGGGAACAGGCATTCCACGACGACCGGAGCTATCGAACTCGATGATGACATAGCCGCCGCGTTTGCTGCCGACGATGACGCGGAATTCGAGGCATTGATGAACAGGGAAACAGGAAACTCGCGAGGGAATAGCAATGTGGCCGATGAGCTGGACACGAGTCTGTCCTCCTGGATAAGCAAGCAGTATGCATTGGACGAGAAGCCCATGCTGTGGGGCACTCGAGAACAAGCGGCTGGCGCTCCCACGCCTCCTCCGAAACCGGCAGCCAAGCGGGCGAGAAGGGACAGCGCTGAATGGGGTACTCCGGCCGCTGTTCCCGCAGTGATCTGCAGCGGGTGCCATCAGCCAGCCCGACAGCATACCGTGCGACGCGAAGGACCCAACCAGGGACGACATTTCTACAAGTGTCCCAAGCCCAATGAGTGCCAGTTCTTTCAGTGGGCGGAGGAGCAACCATCCACATCGGCAGGAAGCTCTTCCTTCGACAGTGCCAAGAGCATCACAACTGGATCGTCGTGGAACACGAATCGTGTGGCCACGCTGCCCAATAGTCAACAGAGCTCCCTTCGAGGCACCCACATACGCTCCAACTCCAGCAGCACTGTCACCATAACCCAGACGAAAACGATGACAGCTCCAGCGCACGTAGGCGAGGAGTTGAAGTGCAACTGCGGCCAGCTGGCCAGCAGACTCACAGTGCGCAGGGAAGGACCCAATCAGGGCAGGCCGTTCTACGCCTGTCCCACACGGGAAAAGTCCTGCGTTTTCTTCAAGTGGGGCGATGAAGATGAGAGCCGAGGTAAGTCAGAACTTCCAATGAATAAATCTCATTACTCATCAAAAATGATTCCACCAGCATCCAGCAGAACATCTTCCTGGGGCACGGACAATCGTAAGCCCCAAGGCAAGCCGCCTGTCCCCGATAAAACGGTCAATCAATCCCGACGCTGCGGTCTGTGCCGCCAGGAGGGGCACACACGCAACAAGTGCCCCCGCAAAAAGGACTTCGATATGTGACAGGATGGTTTAGTGTTTTTAAACATTTATTGGAGCGAGCTTAAAATATTGCAAAGGTGTGAGGGATCAGAAGGATCGATCCTCCACAATTGGTTACAAGCTTCAGTTTTCCATACATTCAGATGCATACATATATATGTATATATATATATATATATATAACATGATATAGGGATAGGGATACGGATACGGATATGTAAAATACACACACAGAGAGAATTGTATTTATGTACATTGTGTATCGTAGTTTAAGCAAACAGAAAACTGAATGAAAATAGCTTGGAGTTTCGAATGGAATGCTTTGTAATTCATTAAGGTTATATATACTTTTGGGAGAGGGATGCTGCTCAGGGCTCAGACTTCAGGGCTCGCCTGCGCGCATGTCGTAGACATTGAAAGACAGTTCTTTGAGTGGAAAACATTTGAAATTCGTAAGGCTATACACACACATGCACGATGTATGTTGTTTTCCGAAGAGTACATGTATATAAATAAACGTAAGGTAATAAATAGTTAAGCTACATTACTGAACAATTTGAGATGCGCTGGAAGGATGCGAAGAATATAATACTATTAAGTACAATAAGATCACTAAGACTATACATTCCTCAGCCTTGGCCAGGATATGTAGGGGACAACAGCTGGGAGACACACACATTTATAGAAGCTATCGGATTGGAACGCAGAACGTGCTACACATTTATATATAGGTTAGGACATCTTTGACCTTAGATTTCGACTTCTGGCGTGAACTGGCGTCAGAAATAGATCTCCTCCTCCTCGGGCTTGGCTCGCGGAGCCGTGCCCGTCCCCGCGTGTCCTCCTGTGCGTCCCACACCCGTTCGACTGCTCGTCGGCGTCCTCTGGCTGTAGTGGGCGGACTCTGCTCTAGTCACGACCGCAGTGGGGGGTGTGGCTGTGGCTGTGCCTGTCGTTGTCTGCTGTATAATCGCCGGAGAGCTGCCAGTGCGCGAGTGCTGCGGCACCAAAGTCGTTGCAGTGGGAGTGGGAGTGGCCGCCGCCGCCGCTTGCCGCTTATCGGCCAACTTGAGGGGGAAGATTTGCTGCACGCTTCCGGCAGAGGGGGCTGGCGAGGCTGAGGAGCTGTTGTTGAAGCTGGCGGACTTATCGACGCGAGAGCTGCCAGCGGAAGAGAGCGAGGAGAGCTTCATGGGCAGCTTCTGCTTGACCAGACCCGAATTGGCCTTGGGTGCATTGTTGGCGCTGAGGAGATTGACTGGCGGGGTCTTGCAGCTGGAGGAGCCGCTCAGCCACTTCTCCTTTCTTCGGTCCGCGGTTCCGACCAGGCTGGGGGTTCCGATCGCCACGCTCACGCCCAGGCCGTTGTCCGTCTCGTGGCTGTCGTCTCCCAGCGGAGCAGGAGTAGAGGCCACCGGCATGGGCGGCAGCGGGGTGCTGGGAGAGAGCAGAAGACCCTGGCTAGAGAGCAGCTCCATCTTGCGGTAGAGCTGCTCCCGCTGCTGGCGCACATCCTCCTGCTCGGCCTTGATCTCCTGCTGCAACTGGAGCTGCTGGGCCCTCATTTCGGTCAGCTCCTCCTGCTGTTGCAACTTCTGACGCTGCCAGGCGGTCTTTTCCTCCTGCAGCTTGTCCTGCAGGTTGCGCAGCTCTTCCAGCTGGTCCTTGTGCGTGTAGGCGCTGGTCCTGGGACTCTCCCGGTACAGGGCCAGCTGCAGCTGGAGGCTCTGGATGCTGGTCATCTGCTGCGAGATGATGCAGAGCAGGGTGTGCAGATGATGCGACACCTGCAGCACGGCGTAGTTGCTCTCCAGTGGCTCCTCCGCCACTTGCACTGCACCTGCACTCGCTGTGTTCTTGGTCTCCCGCTTGGTCTCCTCTAGCTCCTGGAGTCGTGGCGTCAGCACCAGCTTCGATCCCAGCTTGCCCCGCTTCTCATCGAAACCAGCGAACGTCTCTGCCCGCTTGGGCAGCGTCGGGGAGGCGTATTGGTCGCTTTGCTTCTCGCCAACGCTGCTGAGGGTGCGGGAGACGGGCAGACCCGTGGCCGCCGTGTAGATGGTGGACGCCAGCTGGCTGATATCCTGCACAGTGTTCAGGACCCGGCGCCAGAGCTCGCCCGTGTCGCAGTCTGCGCTGACCAGATCCTTGTACGAGCCGAGGGCGGCCAGGAAGTTGGCGGCGCTGCCGTTGGAGGAGCCGGTCACGTCCCCGAACGGATGCTGCTCCTTGAGCAGATTGAGCTGCAGCATCATCTTATCCTCGAGCAGGAGGGCCTGCTCGATGTCCTTCTGTCGCATCTTCTCGATGGTCTCCCGCTTGTTGACGCCGATCCTCAGCTTCTCCTCGGCAGTGAGGTCCTCGGCCTCGATGATGTCCGTGGCCGGGCAATCTAAAACGGCCTGGCGTATGCTCTGGATCCAGGCGTTCTTGTCCTTCGGGGTCTGCACCTTCAGTTCGTACATCTCGGGGAAGTCCGGGTTGGAGCTGATGATGTAGATGCCCCGCGACTCGGTGCCGGCCTTCTCGCGGATCAGTAGCTTCTGCAGCGGCACTACCCCGGCCTTGTGCTCGGGCGTGAAGAAGCTGTACTTGTTGTGGCCCGAATTCTCGCTGAGGAAGCACAGGCAGTCGGTGAGCACCACCACCAGGACTAGCTGCGTCTTGGCCCTGCCCTGCATGAGGGTGGCCAGGCCATCGAACTTCAGGCGTCGTCGCGACGCCACGCCCAGCTCCGCCTTGCGAAAGGGCTTGTTCTTGTATATGGAGAACGACTTGGCGTCCACACGCCCATAGATCTCCAGCTGGCGCTCGCGCAGCTCCTTCTCCGCCACGCAGGCATCCACGTCCACGAGGAGCGACTTGACCAGGTTCAGGGCATGCTGTAGCTTGTCCGTCTCCAGCTTGTTATCGCGAGCACTCTTCAGCAGCGGCTCGATCAGCAGCGGGTACTTGGTGAGGCGCTGAGTCACGAACAGAATGCACTCGGGAATGCCCTTCTTTTTGAGCAGCGGATTCTGCAGGCAGTGCTTGTACCACTCGGCGAAACTGGGCTCCGTCAGGCAGAGCTTGAACTGCTCGAGGGCACTGCGGTGGTTGGCGCAGAACTCGCCGTAGGCCAGCCGCAGGCATTGGGCCTGCTCCAGCGAGAAGAAGTCCAGCAGAATGTCAGCGATGCTGTCGACGACGGGCTGCTCCCGCTGCTTCTGGCGCAGGTGGCGCAGGAAGCAGGTGTGCAGGTCGGTGAGCTGCTGCAGGCGCGGGAACATGCTGTTGAGGTTGAGCGCGGGAAAGTGCCGCTCCAGGCTCTCCACAAACACCTTCTGCATGACGATCAGGGTCTGGCAGTGGTGCTTCTCGGTCATGATGAATTCGTAGATGTGCTCCTGTCGCTTGATCTGCAGCTCCTTGAGCGTCTTGAGCAGCTCCTTGGGCACCCCAGGAGTCCATGAGTCGTGCTCTTTCAGGACAATGCCCAGAGCAGGATCGGCTCCCAGGTCCTGGGCTTCGATGGGCGGTTCGTTGAGGAACTGCAGCTCAGACCTTATCAGCGGCTGGTCCTCCGGATTGCTGAAGGTGGTCGCATCCGGCCCGTCGTAGTAGTCCTGGCCCCCCGCGGCCATCCTCCTCGCCTTGCACTCCAGGTGATGCTCCTTGATCTGGGACAGCGTGATGTTCGCCCCACACAGGTCGCAGGCGCTCAGCTGTCCCCCAACCAGAGACTTCGTCTTGGCCTTGGGTTTCTTCTTGCGGAAGAAGAGGGATCCGCGTTTGGGTCGCTTCTCTACGTTGTCGTAGACCTCGATCTTGGCATGGGAGCGCAGCAGGCTTTGATTCTCATCCTCGCTGTCTGTCAGGTGGCGGGCCAAGGCTTTGATGTCCTCCTTAGCTATGATCGAGGACGTCGAGATGCTCTTCTGCAAGGGGATCCGACTGATGATCTCCGTGGCCAGACTCCTCTTTGCCGCTATCCGCTCAAAGTCGCGGGCCAGTTCCGCCTCGTTCAGGGAGTGGGTGGAAATGCCTGTAACCAAAACCGAAACCGAAACGGAGGAGAGTAAGTAATCAGAGAGAAGTTGGCAGCGGCAGTGGTAGTGGTAGTTATTAATCGGTAGTCTGGACTGCTTTGGCTATGTGCCAATGGCAGTGCCAGTAGAGGTGCTACAGGTGCTACTTCGCCGAGATAAGGGGCTTTTGTGGAATTCCTTATCGAAATCGAAACTAACTTGACCTGCCCCTACACAGCGGATCACAGGGCATATCCATTCAGCAGAAAAATACTCTAACTAATCTATTCATTATTCGGCTATAACTTCGGTTTGGTTTAAGCCGTATCGTATCGGGGGGAACCACACCCACACATTTGCACAGTTTATAATTGGTTTTCCACCTTTATGGCTCTTCTGTGTGTTTATGTATCAGTCAGGCAGCCAGGCAGTCTTTTAGTGTGAAAAATTTATTGTTATATCTACCTCCAGTGCTGTTTCGTGCTGAGCGACGCCGCTGCTCGGTGACGCGAATCGTCTCCTGCTCTTCGCTGTCCAGGCTCGAGAGGCTGACGCTCTTGTTGGTGCAATCCCCGCCGGCACTGGCATCGTCCACAGCCGTCCATGACTTTCGCCGATCCGTGTGCAGCAGCAGACACTGTTGGGGCGCCGTGGAGGACCACATGGCATAGTGGGAGGAGGCATTGCTGCCACTAGGGCCACTGCCACTGAGGTCAGGCAACGAGGCGCTGAGAATGGCGGCACTGAGCAGGCCATGATTGGCGAGGCCCTCCTGCATATGATGGCCGCTGGACGACGAATTCTTCATCTGCACCACCGATTCGCGGATGTTCTGCAGCTGGCTGAGGGTGTCCTCGAAAATATTGTTGTACTTCGAGGCCAGGGCTGGGCTGTGCGGCGTTACATTGATAATGGGAATCATGTTGTGGATATTGTTGTTGCTGCTGGTGTTGTTATTATTGAGAGAGGCAGGAGCAGGAGCAGGTGCCGAAGTTGGCGCCAGAGGTAGAACTGCAACTGCCACTGGGACAGAAACAGGAACAGGAGCGTTGATAACAGGTATACAGTAGTTTTGGCTTTCTACAGTAACGCGCGCCGCTGAGCCACCATTGATCAGGGACGCAGTCCCGGGCTCAGTCTCGCTGCAGTTGGAGTTTAGGAAATCGGTGACCACATCGTTGTCGCTGTCGTCGCCTGCGTTGTCCATAATAGTAGGGCTAGTGTTGGGTTTTGTTTGGTAGTCAGTGGCGGCCCTAGAAAAAGAAAGTTTAGTATACAATACACACACACACACACACACATATGCACGCATGCCCACACATACTCAAACAACGTTAGTAACAGAAGCAGCAGCAACAGCAACACTCTTGCATGCACTTTTTCGTTACTATTTATTGATTTTCTTTCGACTCAACCCTCGAACCTGGTCTGGGCACCTTGTTGCGCGCGGGGTAAATTGTTGCGCCTTTTTAAGGACGGCACTTGTCCTTGCACAAGTGGAACAACAACAACAGAACAGCAACAACAATGGGGTGGGTGGAGAACAATGCAAAATGAAGCAACTGGGTAGATGGGGGAGCGCGTGGGGGTAAACTGTTCGTTGCAATTATTCGAAAACTAAAAAGAGCTAATAGCTATGAGATATTTTCACAGTTTAAATGCTATTTGAGACACATTATTTGAGGTTTTTTTAGCTGCGTTTTTTGCCTATCGCAAGTCGCGACGGGCTATCGTTATCGTGACGTAGGTGTGACCGTGCCTCGATTACCCACAAAAACCAATGCACGCGACTTTGGCGACGGGTCGCAAGTGATCTAAACATGAATGACACATTATGTATCGCTAAACACTCGCATGCGAGTGTCTAACAATTAAAACGCGAGCCGTTAAATATATGACTAAACTTAACTGTCTGGTGGAAAACATAATTTTGTTACAAATAGTGTCTCGTCTCAGGTCTTCGACTGATGGTCAGGAGACGTGCCTAGAGACGGCTACGCATACTAAACTTCCGTTTTGTCTGTGTCTTCGCTGTGGAGTTAGCAAATTCTAATCTCATATGGCTATAAGGATCTTTTCAATATAAACTTGAAATTTTCAGACTTTATCATTTGATTACAAGTCTCATATTTCGCCCATTTCATTTTCTATCTTTTTCAGAGACAGGTGCGAGCGTTTTGTCGGATAAAGTCTCGCAAATGACTCATGTGAAATCATTTGCGAGCGTTTGTTTTCTGGGTTATTTGATTACGTTTCCAGCACTGTATCAGTGGAAACTGTGCCACACTGAACGTCTGAAGATTTGCCAGCGAAGGAGGCAAAAAATATACAAAATATCTTGTACATTTAATTCACAACTTCATTTAGTGGTAATTTTGATAGTAAATTCAACCGCATCCAACCATGCAGGTGAGTGCAGCGGCACAGTGTCTCTGAAACGTTTACCCAATGCCGACGACTGCGACGACTGGCTGCGACGTAGGCAAAGGGACACGCAACCAGAACAAATATAAATAATACAATTTGGATGAATTTTTTCGTTTGCAGTACGTGGCTGTGGCTGTGGCTAGGCCATGGTTGCTGCTGTGCTGCGTGCTGGCGATCCTTGGGTGTGGAGTTGTGGATTGCTTCTATGTTCCCGGCGTGGCGCCGGTTGAGTTTGTCCAGGATCAAAAAATCGATGTGAAGGCCGTGAAAATGACCAGCAGTCGCACGCAGCTGCCTTATCAGTACTATTCGCTGAGGTTTTGCAATCCGAAAAACGGCACGTTCATCTTCAAGTCCGAGAACCTTGGAGAGGTGCTGAGGGGGGACCGCATCGTAAATACTCCCTACGAACTGAGGATGAACCAGCAGATCAACTGCCGACTGCTGTGCAATCAGAAGGACAGACCGCTCAACTGGAGCAAAGAGGACTCGGCCCTGGTGGCGGAGCGAATCCAGCACGAGTACTTTGTTCATCTCCTGGTGGACAACCTACCGGTGGCCACCAGGATCGTCAACGTTAACAATCCGTCCGAGGTGACCTACGAGCATGGCTATCGACTGGGCCAGGTGGATGGGGAGAACATCTACATCAACAACCACCTCAAATTCATTCTGTCCTACCACATGCACTCGAAGGGCAAGTATCGCGTGGTCGGCTTCGAGGTAGAGACGGTTTCCGTTAACCACAAGGAGCTCAAGTTCCACGGCGACACCTGCAACTTTCCAGACAGCGCCCGGCCGCAGCTGGTGAATCCGTCGGGCGAGACGCAGCTCTACTTCACGTACTCCGTCGAATGGAAGGAGTCCAAGGTCAGCTGGGCCTCTCGCTGGGACATATATCTGGGCATGCGCGACGTCCAGATCCATTGGTTCAGCATCATCAACTCTCTCGTTGTGGTGTTCTTTCTCTCCGGCATTCTCACCATGATCATGATCCGCACCTTGCGTCGTGACATTGCCCGCTACAACACGGACGACAACATCGAGGATACCCTGGAGGAGACTGGCTGGAAGCTGGTGCATGGCGACGTGTTTCGTCCGCCCAAGAACACCCGCCTGTTTTCCGCTATCATTGGCAGCGGCATACAAATATTCTTCATGGCCCTGATCACCATTTTCTTTGCCATGCTGGGCATGCTCTCGCCTTCCTCACGCGGCGCTCTAATGACCTCGGGCATCTTTATGTACGTCTTCATGGGCACCATTGCCGGCTTCTATGCGGCACGTCTATACAAGACGATGAAGGGTCGCGAATGGAAGCGAGCAGCTTTCCTCACAGCCACTCTCTACCCGGGCATCGTTTTTGGGTGAGTTTCAAACTATGGAATATTCATCTTTACCTATCATCCATTAACAACTATCTTGCAGCACCGGATTCTTCTTGAATTTCTTCATTTGGGACAAGTCGTCGAGCGGCGCTGTGCCCTTCACCACTATGATCTCTCTGCTGTTGCTGTGGTTCGGCATTTCGGTTCCTCTGGTCTACCTTGGCTTTTACTTTGGCTACCGCAAGCAGCCGTACCAGCATCCAGTACGCACCAACATGATACCGCGCCAGGTGCCCACCCAACACTGGTACATGAATGCAATTCTGAGGTGAGGTTGAGAATTTTCCGACTATTTCACTGTTCTTTACTTACCCCTCTTCTGCTTCTCCTCTGGCACTCTGCAGCACTCTGATGGCTGGGATACTCCCGTTTGGAGCTGTCTTCATCGAACTCTTCTTTGTGTTCACGGCCATTTGGCAGAATCAGTTCTACTACCTGTTTGGCTTTCTGTTCCTTGTATTTTGCATTCTAGTTGTTAGCTGTGCCCAGATCTCCATAGTCATGACTTATTTCCAGCTGTGCGGCGAGGTAAGATTTGGATTAATCGTTCATTTGATTGATTCTAAATACTTCTAATGCAGGACTATCGCTGGTGGTGGCGCAGCTTTATTGTGTCGGGCGGCTCGGCCGTCTACGTGCTCTTCTATAGCATATTCTACTTCTTCACCAAGCTGGAGATCACAGAGTTCATACCCACGCTTCTCTACTTGGGCTACACAGGTGAGTGGCGCGTACGAATTCTGATAAATAAATGTTTGCTAAACGGCTACTTTTCCGTCAAACAGGTCTCATGGTGCTCACTTTCTGGTTGCTGACCGGCTCGATTGGATTCTTCGCTGCCTATGTTTTCATCCTGAGGATCTATGGGGCTGTGAAGATCGACTAAGGAGGGTCTCTCCTGGATCGACTCCTGGAGCCCCCTCTCAGAACGCTGTGCACCAAACTATCCCTGCAATATCATTCGATCATAAACATATTTATAGAGAAACTGAACAAGTCTCGTCCCTCGACAGCTGCCCCCGAACCCCGCTACCGTGTAAAGTGTGCTAACGTTTCCCCTTCTCGTCCCAGCTTCCAAAGGCACCACACAACACATACGAAGCCCATTGAGTAGCCAACTACTGAGACGACAGGATGCTAAGTGTGTCTCCCCGGAGGCAGGTGGCTCAATTCGCGAGAGCATTGCGTTTAGGATACGTTCTAGAAATGCCTAATTTATACATGTATGTAAAGAATCTAATCTAAGCAAACGAAACGAAACGATATAAAAGAAACTAAATCAAATAAACTAAGCTTAAGTGTAGCCATCTCTCACTTGGGCGGACGTTCGATTGGATACCACAGTTGCATTTCCTATTTGCTATGTCTTGGATCAGAGATTTACTCTAATAGAAATCCATGGAGTACGAGTATGAGAGCGTTGTAGCGCTTAAAATGAGAAAACGCATAAGATCAAATATAGTGCTATATATTGTATGGTATGGCTAGTGGCTGTACCGTTCTTTTCATTCCTTTATCTTGTATACGTACGTACTGTCCAACAAATCGCTATTGTTCGGCTGCCTCGGCCATTTTAATTGAAACATTTCGCTACAGCTAGTAAAAAAGCTTAGTTACTTAAAAAATAGTCTTGACGACATGGATGTACATACATGAATTTATAGTTGGTTTATTTTATAAATTGGCATAGATAATTGCTATTAGTATTTTACACAGATTGAACTTAAAAATAAAAGTACGTTATCTATATTCAACCGTATACAAGTTTATCAAGTGGAAGCCGACACATTAGTTTAACTTTAGTTAATGCAATTTCCTAATTAGTGGGGCTTTCGGAGAGCGTGAAGCCATATCAGAATACAATTGGAGAATAATAGACGTTCCTAAGTCCTTTCTTATGAAATTTATGAAACCGAACTATCCATATCCCATTTACTCGTGCCGTAACCGTGGCAAGAATATATGTACCATCAACTATACGAGGGTGAACTGAATCATCGCCTACAACTTATATCTTGTATAATTCCCTAAAGCATAGACTAACCTTTTAGTTTAGTTCAAAGGTATACACTTCTAAGACGCAAAATATCTCAGGCTAAAAACATATAAGGCGACGCCCAGCATAGCCAAAGGAATGTACATTTATTTTAGAGCTGGGAATACAGAATCTCCTTGAGGCTTCCCATTTACGAAAGATGTGAAGTCAGTTCCAAGTAGGCAAGTAAGGATGTAAAAACTACGATTAAGCTACGGGTAAGAATTACTTTCCTTTCGATTTCTTTGCACAACACATATTGCTAGTGAAGGATTTACGATTACTTAAGACATAGGTTAGATTCTAAATTCCATACGGGAACAACCAAACTGTGTTCTGTGTCTCCCGCTGCGTCTGCCTCCTTCAGCTCCTGCTTCTACTTCCTTGTACTCCACCTTTGGAAAGGGGAGGATCTCCGTGAAAAAGTGCGCTTTAAGCTTGTTGCGAATCGGTTTACCTCATGGGGTTCCGATTCTTTAAACGCTAGCGATTCCTTTTGGTTTTGCGACTGACGTTCCCTTCGATGATGATCTGCGCAAGCAAAGTAAATAATTTCGTTTGTCATAAGGAGGTGGAGGCAAGTACGGTGACTGGCTATGAGCGGGACTTGGACTTCTTTTTGGATTTCTTGGGTGCATTAATTATATCATAGGGACACTTGAATTGCTGTACGTTAGGGGATGGGATTTAGGATTCAGGATTCAGGTTAAACATGCCACCGATTGCTCTACCTGAAGGATCTGGCTGGCTTCGAAAGCTGTTCCCGGCAGCAGGATCACGGGAGAGGTTACATTGCCTGCCTCCACGCAGAGCATGTTGGGGAACTCGTCATCGCCAAAGTCGCTCATCTCGCGCGATCGGTCAATCCAGGGATTCCAGATGACTGCGAGAAATATTGTAAAGGTTATAGTAGAAATAATTTCATCGATTTCTCCCCCTCAAATCGACTCACCCGTGTCGGGGAAATTGTACTTGTGCAGTCTCATCTTGCGGCCGGAGACCACGTTGGTGATGACGTGCTCCTGCGGCGTGTGCTGGTAGATTCGATCGGTCCACTCGTTGACAGTGACGACCTCGCGACCTTCCTGGTACAAGGCGTTCTCTCGCGTCTTGTCGATAAAGTGGCAGCCGTGCAGGCCCGTGATCTGGCAGCGGCGCACATCGGGCACCTTCAAGTAAGTGTGCAGCAGCATGTTGAAGGAGAAGCTCAGCTCCTTGCTCGGGTTGTAGACGCCAATGTGGAAGTGGAGCTCCTTCTCGCGCAGAATGAGGCGGTATGTGATGCGAAACCTACTCGTACGTTATAAGGAGATCAGAGTCAGATCAAACATGACTGTCTTGGAGGTAGCGACCACCTACTGATAGTTCCAGATGGAGCGCGTGAACTCGTTGTCCATCAGCGAGAATATAGCCTCGACGTCGCCGTTGTGCAGCCTATCCGGCGCCCTCTCCAGATGCCATCGCGTGATTCTGGCGAATCCATGTTGCGGCCCAAAGGACCAAGCACCAAACTGGGCTGCAAGATCAAGGGAAATGCTTAGGGGTATGCTTATGAGAGGACAGGCCAGCGCAGGACAGCTCCTGTTACCTTCCGAACTTACGAAAGACAAAAGGAATCCCGCCACGTATCGCCTTCTTGCCGTCGAACGAGGCTAGCTTACTGCAAGGAAAAGAGGACGGAGAAGGAAGAGTCGATTAATTCGGTAAGAGCTACTCGAAAATATTTCAGCCATAAAAACGCTAGCAGACAGCGCCTGGCCCGGGCCCGAGACAGACATTCAGAAATTCAGAAATGCTATTAGCAGAAAAAAGTGTCTGGCAAAATGCTCCTTGCCCCTTTTTTCATGTTTTTTTTCTTCTTGTTTTTCCCCTGGCTGCTGATGCTGACGACGACGACGTTGCCCGGAGTCGAGTCTGGATCTGCTTTTCTTCCCAGCTAATTTGCCGGCGCATCCATCAAGCAGTTCAGTTCAGCTCCGCTTCTGCTTCTGCTTTTGTGCATCATTTGTGAGATCCTTCAGTTGTTGTTGTATATCGCATTTGACATGGCAATTGTCATTAATATTCGAGTTTTGAGTTGGGGATTTGGCGCAGAGAGCGGTCGGTGTTTCGATGCATGTACAGTGAGGGGCAAAATAGTTCCACCAAGCGCAAGTTGGGAGAATATTTATATTCTATTATATTTCGTTTCCTTTCACGCTCGATGTTAAGATATATTTATATTTTTTAGTGGCAAAAGCTATCCCACTTGAAGCTTCCTTTTTTTTTTGGGTAATACCCAGACAAAAACAACTGATACATATTCCTCTAATTATTCGATTTTTCCTCTGATCTGTCTTAAGATCATCTTGTTAATTCCCAAGTTAAATCTCGTCAGAGTGGCATCATAAAAGTAATTCTATTGCAAGTTTGTAGTTTAGGCTGCAAATACTTTTGATAATCACTGTACGGGGGTATTTTCGCTTTTTATGAGTTTCTGTTTGGCATGTTTTTCTTTTCTTTTGAAATAGTTGAATTTATTTAAATGTTCTTTGATAGAACCAGGCAACTATTGTAATTCATTTAGTTTTCAGCTTTATCCTCCCTTTGCCATGGCCCCGAATGCCGGGGGTTTTTAGTGGGTTTCCAAATGCGACTGAGAGTGTGTTGAGACCACAAAAACAGTTGAAAAGTAGTGGCAGAAGAGACGATGAAGGGGGGCACGAAAGGAGTGAGCGAGAGCAAAAGCGAGAGCGAGAAGCCAAAGCTTGTCCGTGCGATGCGTGTGTTCGTGTGTGGGAGTAGCAGCTGCGTGTGTGAGAAACAAAAAGCACAACACGAAAGTGGGCCCAAGAATACTGTAATTGAGAGTGGAAGTATACGTGTTTGCTCCACTGTGCCTGCAAAAGTGCTTGGAAGGGAGACGTGAGACGAGAGGGGACAGAGCAGAGCAGAGCTGCAGTGGGGATTTATCGATCTAGCTCTGCCGCGCCAAAAACTCCATTCATAAAAACTTGCACATTGTTTTGCCACAACGTGGCCGAGAACGAGGGGACTGGGAGAGTGCGGAGGGAGAATACAGACCGGCAGTAGGCAGCAGCAACAGTGCGAAAAAAGAGGCCGCATAATGGAGGAGGAGGTGGATTAGGAGGGAGAAGGCAGCTGACGGCATCGCAGTGCATTCCCTATCCGTTCCGTTCCCTTCTGTTTTGGTTCGGTTCGGTTCGGTTCGTTGGTTCGACGTTTGGGGCCGTCGCTCGGTCCCGACATGTTTTTTGTTGGGTGTCATACAAAAACATTTTGCCGCCAAACAGAATGGCTAAGGCTGCTCCCGGTCGCCTCCCCTTCCTCACTTTGCACCCTTCCCGCTGTCCGTTCACGTCCTTTGTGGCCAGTTCTCCTCTCCTTTTCTCTCTCGGTGCGGTGTGTGTTGGAAACTTTGCAAATCACTTTTTTGGTTGCATGACCAGCGCATACCGTGGGCTTGCGTAAGTTCGAGCTTAAAGTCGGACCACTCGGGCGTATGAGCGATGCGATTCTTAAAGAGTGCGAACGAGGGATCTACTCACCTAACAAACAACTGCTCCTGGTTGTTCACTCGCCAGGAGACAACTGTGGCACCTGAAAAAGATATTAAGAAATGGGAAAAGTTTATCTCTTATTATTCAATATTATTCTGGGATAAATTTACTCTATTTAGCGGTTTCCTTGACTCAAACAAAGATATTGTGGGAGTAAACTATTCACATGACTATAATCGACTTGCGAAAGTTTCGATGCTAAGAAAAGAAGAGAAGACCGAGATCGACGACTGATCTGCACATAACAGATCGGGCAAAAGTCCTAGGAGGCATATCAATGAATGGAATGACTACTCGGAGTTGGATCAACTGTGGCAACAACTACAGCTACAGCAACAGCAGCGGCAGCCATCCGCAGTACATGACGCACACACTTCTAACCCACATACCCAGACTCACACTTACACTTACACTTACACTTAAAGCCCGAAGTACTCGTAACTGGCCTGCAAGTAAACTGGCTGGGACTGACTGAGACTGACTGGAGACGAGCGAGACAGCCGCAGAGTCATACGCTCTGGTACAGTTAAATCTTGCTTGGCATTGCTTTGGCTCTGGCTGTAGCATGGATGTGGATGTGGATGTGGCCTACGGCCAATTGGTGGGTGCACACTTGAAGGGTGCGTGGGCGGCGCTGCTGGCGCTGTTGGCGTGGCCGCTGTTCCCAAAACTCTCTTCGGGCTGCCCCCAATGTTTGATGAGATTTGCTAAGCCAGAGGCACAGCTTCGAAGCTTTGGCGATTCGGATTTCCAGATGTAGGAAATAAACAAGTGTAGTTTGGCCAAAGCGTACTCAAAAACTTGTCGACAACGGATCGTTCATGGGCAGTACCGTCGCTAGGTTCCGCTGTGCTGTGCTGTGTCTCTGTCTGTTGCTCAAACGACGACGACGACGACTACGACGTGGGTAGGCCAGACAGAGCGAGTCGTAATTGTTGAAAGTACGCTGGGTACACACTCGCATAGGCACCTATGTCTACTATACATTCATATATAACGCCTAATCGAAATTTTCTGCGAGTAGGAGCCGCTGCCATTGCCTGGGCTGAAACTGAAGCTGATCCCATCGTCTGGAGCAACTGCTACCCCGTTACCCCAACAGCTTTCATATATTATCTCTCGGTGCATATCGCCGGGATCGGATCTTGGCCGATAAGATAGGCGATTATTGAAAGTTCTCTCAAGAGCGGAACACCAAAGCAGCACATCGACAAGGTTGTTTTCAGTACAAACTGATAACCTCTAGAGGGGTCGTCTCGGTGGGTTACACTACGTCAATGGGGGCGGCAAAACTGGTTTTAACTCTGGAACTCCCCATAAAACGAAAGTCTATAAAATGAGTTCTGTTCAGGCTAATCATGCGCTAAAAATAACGCCAACGACTCTACTCTGCAGAATCGGCGCTGATTGTTGTTCTTTCCACTTGATGCTTTTTTGTGTGTTGTGTGTTTTTTTGTGGCTTTTTGCTGGCCTGGCCCGCCACAGCTTTCCCTTCCCGTAGCGCTTACCATGCAAGTTGATGGTGCAGGTCGTGTTATTGCCGCGATCCAAAACGACGACACTGGTGGCGGCCATGGCGGCCGCTGTCGTGGCCATATTTGTTTTTTAGACTAACGGTATTTCACTGGATCTCGTACTGTTCCTTCGCAGCGCCCTCTGTTGGCTTGTGTTTATTTGTTGTTAACTGTAATTTTTTAGCATGTAACGCCAGGTAATCTGGACTCGAATTTGAAATTGGCCTCTCGACCGGATTGCTGAGCTGAGTGTCGAGTGGGAACGTTGTGAGTTGCTGCGGACACCGCAACTCTACGGTTATACCCGATACTAAGTCAGTATGGCTCTCCTCCGGCAGAGGCCGCTAATAGTAAACGACACGACAAAGAGTGCGTGCGAGAGAGACAGAAAATCAGTCTGAGCGTGACGTCACGCGCTGCGTAGACACTGCAAATTGATTTGTTTCCTTTGGCTATAAAAATGATCTGATCTGATTCAGATTCAGCAATCTGATAGATATGGTCGTAATCTATGATTCTGCGTTTTTAGTTTTCTCGAATCTGCAATATTGTGGATGCAACAGATTTTCGTCCTTTGTGTGGGCGGAAGGGGGTGGGGCGAAATTTTGAGATACACGTTTTATAGTGAGATCTAAGAGAAGTGCGGATTCCAAATTTGGTTACTCTAGCGTTAATAGTCTTTGAGATTTGTGAATATCCCCAGATTTGCATCCTTTGCGGGGGCGGAAGGGGGTGTGGCGAAATTTTGAAACAAACTCGTCTCGGTCTGATATATTAGGAGTGTGGATACCAAATTTGGTTGCTCTAGCTTTTATAATCTCTGAGATCTAGGCGCTAATGTTTTACTCTAAGCAAAGCCGCCTATGCTACGTGTGTGTTAGAGAGAGACAGGGCGAGAAAAAATGAAATTGTTTTCTTGATGCTGGCTATAATAATAATACGATCCAATTCAGATTCCGCAGTCTAAAAGATATGGTCATTCTCTACGATTCTGCGTTTTTGGTTTTCTCGTATCTTTAAAATTGTGGATGCCACAGATTTTCGCCCTTTGTGGGGGCGGAAGTGGGCGGGGCAAAGTTTTGAAATATTTTTGTAGCAGTGACATATCACAGAAGTCTGGATCCAAAACATCGTTGCTCTAGCTCTTATAGTCTTTGAGCACTAGGCGCTGAAGGGGACGGACAGACGGACACACGGACAGACGGGCGGACAGACGGACAGGGCTCAATCGACTCGGCTATTGATGCTGATCCATATATATACTTTATGGGGTCGGAAACGATTCCTTCTGGACGTTACACACATCCACTTTTACCAAATCTAATATACCCCAATACTCATTTTTAGCGCACCAAGCCCCACTCACACACACAGAGATAGTGGTACGCGCGCCACACAACGCACACACACACACACACACTCTCACACAAGCGCAGCTTGAGTTTTTGTCAATGAACAAATACGTGAAAAAACTCGTGCAAAAAACGTTGCGACGCGGAGCGGCGGTACCGAGCTTACGGTGTTGCGGGTTCGGGCAGTTTTGGGGCCTTGGCATGTTGCAGGTGCTTAAAATGTTGCAGGTGCTTAAAAATGTTGCTCTGCTACATGTTGCTAGAAATGCTGCCGCAAGGTATAAAAGGTAAGGTAAGGTAAGAATTACAAATAATCAATAACAATAATCAAATATCGATAGATTTATAATCATCGGTGTAAACCATCGATATAAAACCATCGGTACCACCACCAGCGATCAGCTCTGTCGCGACTTATCGAAGCAGTGCCATCTCAATTGGATTTGTGGGGGGAGATTTTCCCGTGGACGGCCAGCGGCGCCCGTTGGCGCTTTTGTGGCCCCCCCAGACCACCCCGGAGCAACAGTCCGACCACAGAGAAGACCCACACTGGCTACCGGCAACACCATCTTCCTAAAGCCAGCTGAGCAGTCAATGTGGCTCATCCAACTGGCATCCGGCCACACGAACCTGAAGCGCGTGACCCTGGAGTTGGGCGGAAAGTCCCCCAACATTATCCTTTCTGACTCTATTCGTAGAGACGGCCCAATTCGGCCTCTTCTTCAACATGGGCCAGTGCTGCTGTGCCGGCTCTCGCACCTTTGTGGAGGATAAGATCTACGACGAGTTCGTGGAGCGCAGTGCAGAGCGTGCCAAGAAGAGGACCGTGGGCAATCCCTTAGATCTGAACACCAAGCAGGATCCCCAGATCAACCAGGAGCAGATGGATAAGATCCTTGGCATGATCCAGCAGGGCGCCAATCTGGTGGCCGGCGGTAGCCGTCTCGAATGCCTTCCCGGCTACTTTGTCCAGCCAACGGTGTTCGCCGATGTCCGAGACAACATGCCCATTGCCCGCGAGAAGATATTCGGGCCCGTCCAGCAGCTGATTCGATTCAAGAAGCTCGACGGGGTCATCGAACGTGCCAACAACTCGGAGTACGACCTTGCCGCCGCTCTCTTCACCAAGGATCTGGACTATGCCAACTAAATTGTCGGTTGCCTGCGTGCCGGCACTACAATGCCCTGGCTGGCCAGGCTTCCTTCGGACGAGAACGGGGAGTATGCACTCTCCAACTACACGGAGGTCACAGAAGAACTCCTAAGAAGGGACTGTCCTGGACAGGGACATTAGCCTTAAGATTCGGATAGTCCGCCCATCATTAGTATTTAAAATCACCTGATTTATATATATATGTATATATGTACGTATATTTTACTCTATCTAATTATATATAAAGGTTACAATTCCTACCACGCGGGAAAAATATTTTATTGCAGCCCGTGTGTCGGTGAATTTATCCGCATCTGTAACGTGGATAAATTTAAGAATATCGTACACATGGGAGGTGAGGATGAATCCACGCAGCTCGAGATCGGAGCTATTGACTCTGCTCAAGTTAAGAGGTGTAGACGATTTCGCGAAGTTCAGCGCCAATAGCTTTTTTAAGTTTAAAACTTCGTTTGAATTAAACTCCTCTAGTTCATTTGGCGTGCTGCTGGTTATTTCTGAAAACTTCTGTTTCCATGTGTTTCGGTCAAAGGTGCTTCCGTAGATTTTGCCTAATCTATCCACCGTATCTTTATACCGCGTGACCAATTTCTTCTTCATATGGACCTCGTCCCACAGGACCGGGAAATAGTTTGCGACATACTGCAGCGACTTCAAATTGGCCCTGCACCTGTCCGATATTACGCCGCACACATTTTGGGCCAAGCCCAGGTTGAGAATTGAAGTGACTACGACTTTTAGTCCTTCATATATCTCATTGCTGCCCAAAACGTGCACGTCTGTAGGGACCACCTGCAGGTACAGAAACTTGAATTTTGTGCCGTCCATATTTGCAGCTGCAATGGCCAAAGATTTCCAGCGGCTGAGGAGCACCTGTAAATATACTACTTAATATGATATAAAGAGACTGTTAAAGAGGAACTTACGTTGGGTACGTGCCTGAAATGAAACTGTTCGAAAATGAGGACAAAAGGCTGCTCCCCGAAAAGTTGCAAGTTTGACACCATGTTGATAAGCCCACAGTTCAGCTCTATCAAGTGGGACTGCCGCTCCACGTATCTGATGGCTCGCCGCACATCGCGTCCACGGGCAGCCAACAGCGGGTGGCGTATGAAAACCTCTTCCAAGTTCATTTTACACCCGACTGAAGTGAACGCGGTCGCAGTCTAGTTGGAAATGGCGACAGTCAAAGTGTAGGTGTTCGTCTGGTCAAATCCCGAGGCGGCTCACAGTGGGCCGAAAACGGTCAATCCTGTCCCGTTCTTTCCATGGGTCTTTTGTTTTGTTTCCAACAATATATATAATATCATATATGTAATATATAAAATATATATGTATAAACGCAATTTGAAAATTGTTTAAGCTTGACCCACTGTGCGGCAGTAGATCAGAACTCTTGCTTCTCTTTCGCTCTCATAGCAACGAAAGGAAATTTTGCCATCCTTTTTGTGCTGCTTCCGAGCGCTCGAAGATGAAGATGAAGAATGGTAAAAAATGGCTTACCGCGACAGCGCACAGTGGACAACACGGTCAATCTCTAGTTTTTCCTATGTTTGCTGTAATTTGGCAACCAAATGGGCCGCTTCACCCACTGTGCAGCAGTCGGATCAGAATTTGCAACGAAAAATTTGCAATCCTTTTTGTGCTGCTTCCGAGCTTGTAGATGAAGAGGAAACATAATGGTGAAAAACGACGCCGCGGATACAGCAAATCTAAGCGGGACCATGGACGGTTGAGTTGTTTGGCCGATTTCGGCGGTAAAAATTCGAATAAAATCTATTTAAATGAATCTATCAGATTGGAAATTGAAATTACATTAAAAGTGGAGCTAAAGACGCCGACAAAGGCGTCCTCGTCGGCGCAGCAACCTGGGATCGCCACTGCAATAGTGAATGGGACAAAAGTGGAGCTGAAGACGCCGACAAAGGCGTCCTCGTCGCCCTCGTCGGCTGCGCAGCAAGCTGGGAACGCCGCAATAGTGAATGGGACAAAAGTGGAGCAGAAGACGCCGTCAAATGCAGGCAGTGTCGTGGAGGATGCCCCCCATGGATATGCCTTCAGTGAGGATGTACCTTGGGAGGATGCCCCTAATGAGGATGCACCTTGGGAGGATGCCCCTAATAAGGATGCACCTTGGGAGGATGCACCTTGGGAGGATGCCCCTAGTGAGGATGCACCGGCTCCGACTTCGTCGCTTATCAGCTTTTGCGCCTTTCCACCGACTGTAAACACTGGGAAGCCAAAGATGCCCATGGGGTGCCGGCCAATCCAGGCGCATACCCCCTCGTTTGCGCCCAGCAGCGTATTTGGGGCTATAATGGCGGCACCTTCCTCCAACCACTACAGTGCAGTGTCTGAAGTGAATCAGCCCTTTGCGACCAACACGGCTGCCGTCATTTTAAGGGAAGTTGGGGCGACGGCGGTGCTGAAGCGCGTGGGCCGACCGGAGCCCCTGACTCCGAATCTAAGAAGAATTGCCATAAATACCATCGCCGACTATTTCGTTATGAAAAAAATTCCACTGTCGATAAGCAAAAGCCGGAATTTGGATAGAGAACTCTTGAGTCTTTTTCCCGGGGATCAGGAAAGCAACTACAAAGTGAGCGATCGGAGCCGAATGTATGTCAGGTACAACAACAGGAAGCGGCTAGAAAAGCACCATGCTAATGTACGACGTAAGCTCATCTGGACCCCAACGACCAATGAACCATTTTCGCCGAAGACATCGGTGGCCTCATGGTCCCAGACACTGCCGGTTGAATTTGACGACGTGCCAGACAATATGGAGTAGAACCAAAAAAATGGATTTTTCTGAAGAATCCTCGTTTAATTTCATTAATATTTCTATCAACATAAGACTTTTTATTTTCAACTTACAAAATTCCTAAAATATATATGAATATCGCCGTAGTGTCCTGATTTTCATAGTTCAATGTGAGGGGATATGGTCCCCCAGCAATGGCAATGCGTATTCTGGCTGCTTTTTTGCCTGTGCAGTGCCCCTTAGTTAGTGGCAGGTACTCATTGCAAGGTCTACATATCTCTTTTGGCTGCGGGGAGTCTAGCGTATACTGTCTGGACAACTTCTATGCCCCTGCGCGGGATAAGCTGCCGCGCTTGCTGGAGTATAGCGATCATCGTGCCCCGTCACTGGTGGCACTATGTGGAGGCGACGGAGACATCGCTCAGTCTCAACTACTGGGTGCCTCTCAAGGACGACATGGACCTGGCCCTGGACGAGTTTCTGGTCAACCACATTGTCGAGAGCTTTGTCAAGGGCGAAAGTGAACAGACGAAGCAGTATCTACTGAATCCCAATCAACTGGAGGACATATCCTCGACGCCCAGCGAACTGTTTGCCCAGTTCCAGCAGGCCGTACAGAATGCCGAGAGCGAGGAGCACAAACGGAAGCTGTGGGAAACCGATTACTTGACTCAATCCAAATTTAGGGAGCTCCTTGCTAGAGTGCGTCTCACCGTTCGGCACCTGGAGGTGATGCCCAAGGAGGAATACAAGCTCTTGCTGGAGTCCAACTCGAAACGGCTGCAAACAAAGACGAGAACTGCTACTGAGAGTTTGCCGATCAGCTCCACATTGGAACTGCTCATCAGCAGTATGTGTGCCCCACGCACCATTGCGGGCATGAAACGAGAGTTCTTTCGGAGACTATATACGTGATATTTTTGTTGCATATATGAGATTAAAATCCAAGAAGCCATCAACATGTATGATACAATTGTAAGCAAACGAACGAAAGCCGGAACAGAAACAAAACACAGAGCATTAAATGCCATGACCACCAATCGCCGCTTCTCTACGATCCGGAACTCAACGAAGAGGCCTTGGTTAAACCACAGTGTGGGTATAAATACGGGTGGGATGCGGTTTACCATCCTGGTGGCTTCTGGTTGGGATAGCCGCCTTGCTGTTGGGGAGCATAACTGCCAGGATAGGTGCCATAGTGCCCAGGTGGTGGTCCTTGTGGATAGCGGGGGGCTATACTGACAATCTGCAAATGAAAAGCATTCGCATAAGTGGGGATGCAAATTCCATCGATTATCAGTACTTACTGCCAGGATATGGGAGCGTGGCGTATGGATTGAAGCTCTGGGGCATCGGTGGCGGAACATACGCTGGATATGGAACTCCTGGCTGGGCTGGCATGCCATGTACCTGGTTAGGATACGGCATATTGGCAGCAGCTGCCGCAGCCGGTACGCTGGGAGCAGAGCCAGCTGGATTGGATGGAATGTCTGTCGGATGGGGGCGAAAAAACAAAATGATGTATTATCAAACTTTGTTAGGGAATGACTGTACCTACCGCTGCCACTACCCGAGGTGGAGGCATAGTGCGAGGGCAGAGAGGGCGTAGCCGGGCAAGCTTGTCGGCTCGACGCTGTAGTTAGGTCCTTCATGAGCTCCTCCTTTTCCGTTTTGCGGGCAAACACAAAGTCGCTGATCTTGTTCTGGAATACGACCAGGAGCTGGGTGAGGTCGTTGTAGAATTTAGTTCCCTCCTGGAGATTGCCCGACAGCTCAATGTAGCTATCGTAGGGTGTCGCGCGAGCTGCCACAGCTTCGCGTCTCCGAGACGAAAGCTCCATGGGCGCTCTGAATGTCTGTCACCAGGGACTGCTGACGGTCGACGCTCTCCCTCACCTGCTGCTGCAAAGGATTCAGGACCTGCCCAATGCACGACAACGACAAGGCGGGCTCGTCGATAGCCCCATCCTCACTGAGGCTGATTTTGCCACCGAAGATGGAGCCCTTGTCGAAGGGAATCTTTCACTTGGCAACAAAAGCGTTGGGCGCGGGATTTCAAGCCAATAGTGTGACCATCTCCACTCTACGGCACTTTGGCAAAAGTGTTGACATACCGCCACTTCTCTCTCTCTCTCTCTCCCTCTCTCTCTCTCTGGCTCGCTCTTCCCTCTCGGCATGCCTATGCGTGTGTGTGTGTGTATGTACGAACCTCAGATATTACATACGAAGAAGAAGAACTACTACTAAAAAAGAATCGGGCGAAAAAAAACGGGTTAAAAAGAATCCAAATCCAGCGAAATGTCACGAAAAATGCCGAAGTTCTACAAGCTAGACATAAATCGCACGGAGTGGGAGATACCAGAGACATACCAAAGCCTTCAGCCCGTCGGGCAGGGGGCCTACGGTCAGGTGTGCAAGGCTGTTGTCCGAGGAACCAGCACAAAGGTAGCGATAAAGAAACTGGCGCGGCCCTTTCAGTCGGCCGTGCATGCCAAGCGAACGTACCGTGAGCTGCGCCTACTGAAGCACATGGAGCACGAGAATGTGATTGGTCTCCTGGACGTTTTCCATCCCGGACAGCCCGCCGACTCGCTGGACCAGTTCCAGCAGGTCTACATGGTGACGCATCTCATGGACGCGGACCTCAACAACATAATACGCACGCAGAAGTTGTCTGACGACCACGTTCAGTTCCTGATATACCAAATCCTAAGAGGCTTGAAGTATATTCACAGTGCCGGGGTGATACATCGCGATTTGAAACCGTCCAACATCGCGGTGAACGAGGATTGCGAGTTGCGCATCTTGGATTTCGGTCTGGCACGACCCGCAGAAAGCGAGATGACTGGCTATGTGGCCACGAGATGGTATCGGGCACCGGAAATCATGCTCAACTGGATGCACTACAACAAGACGGTGGACATTTGGTCTGTGGGATGCATCATGGCCGAGCTCTTGACCGGACGCACCCTCTTCCCCGGCACCGATCACATTCATCAGCTGAACCTGATCATGGAAGTGCTGGGCACGCCGGCGGAGGAGTTTATGAGCCGCATCTCCTCGGAGAGTGCCAGAAACTACATACGGTCGTTGCCAGTGATGCCGAGACGAAACTTTCGAGACATCTTTCGTGGGGCCAATCCGCTGGCGATCGACCTGCTGGAGAAGATGCTCGAGCTAGATGCCGACCAGCGCATCACAGCCGAGCAGGCGTTGGCCCATCCCTATATGGAGAAGTACCATGACCCCACCGACGAGCAGACAGCGGCCTTGTACGACCAGAGCTTCGAGGAGAACGAGTTGCCCGTGGAGAAGTGGAGGGAAATGGTGTTCACCGAGGTGCAAGCCTTCAGGCCCACTCAGGCCTTCGCCGAGCTCCTGCCGAAGGATTTATAAATCAAATCCCTTCAACGATGCTATACCTTTTAGATCAGTCGTATCACCTAGTTCAAGCGGATGTGCTCAATCGTGATTTTTGTATTCATCGAATGTAAACAGTCAAGGGTATTTATTTTAAAGCGTTTAAAGTGTTGTTTCTCCAGTTTATATTTAGAAGAACGTCGATCGTTGCTGGGGCTGAAACAAAACAAAACGAAACGAATGAATGAATGAGTATGAGAATGTATTTTCGAACCTGTAGCGTATCCGACTTGCACTCGATCAACAAAGGGATTGCGATTGAACTCTAGGTACACATAATTACACATAATATTGTAAAAAAAAAAAACAGAGTCGAGTCAGAGTCACAGCCTTACTGTCCAGTTCAACTTTTTGGTGTTGGTTTTAACAAATAATTGTGAATAGTCTTGTAAATGTGAGTGTATGTACATGCAAGTCCCAGAAAATACACGAAAAGATTATGCATGTACATCTTAGTATATAAGCGAGCGCATCCCGCGGCCAGTAACTTTAAAAAGATCTACGTTGAATACAAAAATAAACGTGCTATGTATTTTACATTAGAAGATCTTCCAGATAGCGTTCGAATTCTTGCTCTCTGGAGGGTTGTTCCTCGCTGAGATTAAGCTGATTTATCCAGATTTGGTCGTCTGCGGTGGGTTCCTCAGCTTCAATGTTCCATGTTTCCGGATCTGCCTCTGGCACCGCAGGCTCTTCCTTATTATCTTTCTCGCCCTCATCATTGGCAGTATCATCCAGTTTCCGTCGCTTGTTTCTTTTTCCAGCTCTGCACTCATCCTTCTCCCTACGTTTCTGCTTTTTGTACTCCTTCTTTTTGGTGCGATAGTTGAGTTGATCCGTGTGCGTGGGACAAAGCCGTACCTGCAGGAGTGTGGCAAATGCAATTCTTTCAGATACATATATATACAGACATATGTATCTGAAATATCGGATCCTACCTTAACCAGCGCATTCATGGGCACCCCTTGCTCGATGTACTTGAAATTCACCTCCCAGCTGCGCAGATCCGTCCGCTCCCCACAGTGGCGGCTGCCGCACTGGAATTGTCCTGTTCCTGCCACAACTTCCTGCTCGGTTCGCCAGCGGAGGGCTATCTTGTTCTCCTTGTAGCGAGTCAGGTCCGCGATGCAGTATTCCTTGAAGAGTTTCTTGTAGTAGCGCCGCGCCAGGCGTTGATCCCAACTCAGCGATCCGCATTCCTCGTCATCGTCGTCCCACAGAAAGCGATGGTTCTCCCGAATGACATCGATGTCTCGCTTGTGTTTTCGCGACTCGCTTTGGGCGGTGTTGTTGAGCACATAGTGGCCGAGAATGTACTTGTGGCGCTCTTTGTCAGTCAATTTGTTTAAACTTATGGGAAAAAGCTGTGAGCTGCTCATTGTTGTTTTTCCTTTACAGAATGCGATGGTTCGATAACAATATATCGATGTGCCATATTTATCAGTGCTAACTAACTCTCGAGTGATTTATCGAAGCACTGCCATCTCAATTGCGGAACAAAACACAAAGTGCTCAGAGACTTTAAGAGCCGTTACCGTTAAAAGTGTAACGCCCCGCAAAGGACGAAAATCTGTGGCATCAACGGATCTCAGAGACTATAAGAGCTAGAGCAACCAAATTTGGTATCCACACTCCTGTTAGATCTCACCGTCTTAAGTTTATTTCAAAATTTCGACCCACCTCCATCCGCCCCCACAACGAAAATCTGTGGCATCCACAATTTTGAAGATACGAGAAGATATCTACCAGATTGCCGAATCTGGATCAGATCGGATAATTTTTATAGCCAAAAGGAACAAAACAATTTGCAGTGGCTATGCAGCGCCCTATGTACGCCCTAAAATACTCTAAATCAAAGCAACGAACCAGAACAAAATTCGAAATAACAAAGTTTGTGGCATTATCTGACCAAATACGAATCGGTCTTCCACGGGTGAAAATCGCTCCGGTCGATGAGTGACACGATCAAATGTCGTTTGGTCACATCGCTGACCTTCGCTTTCGGTTTCGTTGGCTTCTTGGCCGCTTTCGGTGGAGGGGCTGCACTCTTGGGCCCGCGTTGCCGCTTTCTCGCTGGAGTGTCTTTAATGGCACTCTCAGTCGAGCGTTGCCTCTTGGTGGCATTATCTCCTTCTCCTTATTGGCATATTCGCCATTCGACGCCCTCATCTGTGGCATTTGAGCGTAATGTAGCCGGCCCTCCTCTACTCGCTGCTCGGCCCAGACTAGCTTGACCTTCTCCTCCTGGGAGATGTCTGCTTTACTTTGCAGCCGGCTTTTGATGTTGAGGGCCGCTTTGTATTGTGCTTTGGCCTTCATCCCCTCCTTGGAACGCTTCGGCTTTGCAGTCTGCGGAGTTGTTTTTGTTGTTGTTGTGGCAGTAGCTTTACAACTGACCTGGCCTGCTCCCGCCAAGTCTGAGGTGTGACCGCTGGCGACACGCACAGAGGATTGCTCCTCCCCGTGCCCGCCGGTGGTAGCTGTCACGCTTTCCACCGACGTTTGGGTTGACATCCCAACCCGTGCTTCATCCATCTTCGCCTCCATATTTGGCTCGAGGGTCCATACTATTAATATTTTAATATTAATTGTTGCTTAGGTCGCTGCCAATTTCGATCACATCAAGCTCTTCTAAATTAGAATGAGTAACATTAAATGAGTCGGATATTTTTTCCAAGAATTTTAAATTAACACTTAGCGCATCTTCATTGATTGGGTTGTTTTCATCACTCAATATCGTATCTCGAAGTGAAACGACTTTGTTGTATATTGAGAGTGCCTTTCGTTTGTAAAAAGACACCTTGTTTTCCGGCAAGTCATTGGACTCATCCATTTTCGACTGGCAGCAGCGAGCAGCTGCTGTTTCTTCGGTTTGCGGTGAGGTGGCTGTCTGGCGGGCTTGCAAATGCTATAATTATGACTTCAGTGTCGCTTCAGGTGGTATGGCGTCTTATGATTGTATGCTTTATCCTCATTATAAACGAAGTGGTCTATAAATGTGAGACTCCCAGTATGGATCAACAAGTGAATATTCACTAGTGAATGCGTATTGATTTAGGTATTCTTTTATAAAATCCATTTTTTTTTTTGGCTCTACTTCGCCCCAGCGTCTGACGTCTGGGCCCATGAGGCCACCGATGTCTTCTACGACAATGGTTCAGCCGTCGTTGGGGGTCCAGAAGAGCTTCTGTCGAATTTTAGCATTGTGCTTTTCCAGCCGCTTCTTGTTGCTGTACCTGATATAAACTCGGCCCCGATTGTCCGTCCTTTAGTCGCTTTCCTGGTCTCCGGGAATCAGACTCAGGAGTTCGCTCTCTAAACTCCGGCAGCTCTTCAGCGACAGTGGAATTTTTTTTCAAAAGAACTGATGGTATTTAATACCGATCTTCTTAGCTCCGGAGTCAGCCCACGCGCTGAACCAGCGCCGTCGCCCCAATCGCTCTGCAGCCGTGCTGGTCGGAGAGGGTTGCACTGTAGTGGCTGGTAGAAGATGATGACACCTTTACAGCCCCAAATACGGTGCCGCACGCAAAGAAGGGGGGAACGCGGCTAGATTGGCCGGCAACCAATGTGTTTCTTTGGCTTCGCAGTGTTTACTGACGCAATGAATGGTGGAAGGGCGCGAAAGCTGACAGGCGACGAAGTCGTAGCCGGTGCATCCTAGCAAGATGCATCCTCACAAGGTGCATCCGTACGGGGGGCATCCTCCGCGACACTGCCTGCCTTTGACGGCGTCTTCTTCTCTACTTTTGCCCCATTCACTATTGCGGATGCGTTCCCAGCTTACAGCGCAACAGAAGCCCACGAGGACGCCTTTGACGGCGTCGTCTGCTTGAATCCCCAAGAAGTAACCAAGCTCCTCCTCCGGCGTCGCCAATCTGAAAAAGGTTAATTCAAATAGATTTGATTCGAGTTTTTACCGCCGAAATTGGCCTAACAACTTACTCGTTCATGGTCATGGATTTTCTGAACCCGCGGCGTCGTTTTTCACTATATTGTTCCCCCTTCATCTACGAGCTCGAAAGCAGCACAAAAAGGATTGCAAATTTTCGTTTCGTTGCAATGAGAGCGAGAGGGAGGCAAGAGTTCTGATCGAACTGCCGGACAGTGGGTGAAGCGGCCCATTTGGTTGCCATTCAACACACATGGGAAAAAATAAGACGACGGTATATTTTTTTATCAGCTAGATTGACCGTTTTGCCCACAGTGCGGTGTCCTGGCTTAAAATCAGCTGAACACCTACCGCGATCAGTTAAATTTTCTGCGAGATTGAAGAATTTTTCACATGCCACCCACTATTGTCTGCTTCGAGCCGTTAGATACGTGGAGCGGCAGTCCCATCTGATTGAGCTGAATTGTGGGCTGTTTAACATGGCGTCAAATTTGCAAATTTTCTAGGAGCAGCCATTTTTGTTCATTTTTGATGAGTTAAAACGGAACTTTCGTTGGTTACGGGCCTGAAGTGAACCCGTAACCAACGAAAGTTCCCTTTTAACCGTCTCTTTATATCTTCATTAATTATTATATTTACAGGTGCTCCTCAGCCGTTGGCAGTCGTTGGCCAGTGCAGCTGCATGTGGACAGGTGGTCCCAACAGACGTGCACGTTTTGGGCAGCGACGCCATTGAAGTTAATTTAAAGTCTCTGCAGTCGCGGCCAACTTCCCGGTCCTGTGGGACGTAGGTCATATAAGGAAGAAATTGGTGACAGATTGGGAAACATTTTCTAGAGCACCAGAATCGCAGGTTTCTGAAATAACTAGTTCGCCACCAAAGGAATTTAAGTCTTAAATTTAAAAAAGTTATTGGCGATGAATTTTGGGCAATCGTCCACACCCCCTAATTTGAGCAAAAGACACATCTTTGACAGACACGTTTTTGTTTTGTGCTCCGCATATTTTTCCTTTGTTTTGCATAAACAGCCGGTGTTTTCATATATAAACTTTAATTAACTTCCTAACCAGCCTAAAATCTGGAAATCTATTCTATTCTGCGAGTGCATGCCTTTTGATTTGTGTTTAAACATTATTCATTTAACTTCTAATTTTTCGGCGTCGGCTTGTCGTGTTTGTGTTGTTGCCGTGAGTACGCATTACATTACATTACAGCTCTCGTCTCTCGTCTTGTAGCTTCTGTTGCTTTATCACTCTCTCGCTATGACCTCAACTTCAATAACTGTTCTTTCTCTCTCGCTCTCGTAACTTTCTGTTTAGTAGCTCTGTCTGGCACACTGGATTGAGAAGTTTAACTTCTCTTATGCCAGAGACTTAAGATAAGCATCTCCCCAACTCAATTTGACACCATTTGCTCTGCAAAATTTTGGACGTAGGAACTCACTAATATATTTATTAGATTTGCCTCATTGTGTTGTGCAAGATGATTTTTTTTGCGAATCGTTCAATTCTGACCCTTTTTGCATTTTGCATTTTTAATAAGACAGATCAATTTTTCGGCACGAATGTAAATGTTCGGGTTTCCCCGAAATGGTTTCCCAAGCGCCAAAAAAATTTTCGGAAGATACGAATATTTTTGTAATATCAAATTTGTTCGAAGTTTTTGTTTTTTATATAAAAAAAAATGAATAAGATTTAAATAAAATTATGTTAAATTATGTTAGATAAATATTTAATTTACCCCATCCGATGTGTTCAGGCCAGCAGTAAACAATTTCCGCGCACTGTGCCAACTCCGTGCGCCCCGGTCCCAACTCGCTCTCGCGCGCTCGGAGGGGCGCTCGGATCCACGATCCACACGGCGCTCACGGCAGCAAAAGCATCATAAGAGTTAGTTAGTTACGATTTCACCCCCGCTTCAGACCACCCCCCAACCAAATACACACACATAATTATATATATACCACGAAACACAACGGTTTTCATTTTTTATGACGGCTACTCGGAGATTCACTGGATCATCAATTGCGTTGTGGGAGAGTTGAGCTTCGATCCGCCCCACTACAAACACTATGAAAGAACGATTAAATTCGTTGTAACACAACCACCAAAAACGAACGTGAATATAGAGGATACCTAGAGACGAATACTTTTGTGACTGACTGTATATAAATCGCGAAATCTTGTGATAAAGAAATGTACACAATTCGAATTTTGTTTTGGTTCGTTGCTTTGATTGAGAGTATTTTAGGGCGTACATAGGGCGCCACTGCAAATTGATTTGTTCCTTTTGGCTATGAAAATGATCCGATCTGATCCAGATTCGGCAATCTGGTAGATATCTTCTCGTATCTTCAAAATTGTGGATGCCACAGATTTTCGTTGTGGGGGCGGATGGAGGTGGGTCGAAATTTTGAAATAAACTTAAGACGGTGAGATCTAACAGGAGTGTGGATACCAAATTTGGTTGCTCTAGCTCTTATAGTCTCTGAGATCCGTTGATACCACAGATTTTCGTCCTTTGCGGGGCGTTACACTTTTAACGGTAACGGCTCTTAAAGTCTCTGAGCACGAGGTGCTCATAGGGACGAACGGACGGTGATGGCTCAATCAACTCGGCTATTGATGCTGATCAAGAATATCTATACTTCATGGGGTCGGAAACGCTTCCTTCTGATCGTTACACTCATCTATTTTCCCCAAAAATCCTATATACCCCTATACTACTTTTGAATATCGGGTATAAAAAGATGAAACAGAGGATTCGGCTTCGTGGTGTCAGACGCTGGGGAGAAGTAGAGCCAAACAAAAATGGATTTTTCAAAAGAATCTGAAATTCGGAATGCTTTTTTCAAATGAAACGAGGGGGAACGTTGTGAGTTGCTGCGGACACCGCAACTCTACGGTTATACCCGATACTAAGTCAGTATGGCTCTCCTCCGGCAGACGCCGCTAATATTAACGACACGACAAAGAGTGCGTGCGAGAGAGACAGAAAATCAGTCTGAGCGTGACGTCGGGCGCTGCGTAGCCAGTGCAAATTGATTTGTTACTTTTGGCTATAAAAATGATCTGATCTGATCCAGATTCAGCAATCTGATAGATATGGTCATTATCTATGATTCTGCGTTTTTAGTTTTCTCAAATCTGCAATATTGTGGATGCAACAGATTTTCGTCTTTTGTGGGGGCGGATGGGGGTGGGGCGTAGATATACGTTTTATAGTGACATCTTAAAGGAGTGTGTGTACCAAATTTGGTTACTCTAGCCTTAATAGTCTCTGAGATTTGTGGTTGCCTCAGATTTTCGTCCTTTGCGGGGGCGGAAGGGGGTGTGGCGAAATTTGGACAGGAAACGGTCAAGGTCCGATATCACAGGAGTGGGGATACCAAATTTGGTTGCTCTGGCTTTTATAGGTTCTGAGATCCTTGAACTCATATTTTGCAATTGGCAAAACCGACCATGAAACCTGTGTGTTAGAGTGAGACAGAGCGAGAAAGAGTGAAATTGTTTTCGTGATTCTGGCTGTAATAATTATACGATCTGGTTCAGATTTTGCACTCTAGAAGATATAGTCATCTTCTACGATTTTGCGTTTTTAGTTTTCTCGTATCGTCGAAATTGTGGATGCCACAGATTTTCGCCCTTTGTGGGGGCGGAAGTGGGCGGGGCAAAGTTTTGAAATATTTTTGGAGCAGTGACATATCACAGAAGTCTGGATCCAAAACATCGTTGCTCTAGCTCTTATAGTCTTTGAGCATTAGGCGCTGAAGGGGACGGACAGACGGACGGACAGACAGACATGGCTCAATCGACTCGGCTATTGATGCTGATCAAGAATATATATACTTTATAGGGTCGGAAACGATTCCTTCTGGACGTTTCACACATCCACTTTTACCACAAATCTAATATACCCCAATACTCATTTTGAGTATCGGGTATAAATATAAGTTGACTCCGGTCCAGCGAGCTCTAATTGCTATTTTTACAAATTGTCAGGAAATAATGCATTTATTCAACTGGTCGCAACCAGAGATAGCATAAACTCCCCGACTCCGACGCAGAGCCGATCTTGCGTGCTCAGAGAGCACTGCAAGAGAGCCACGAGCGAGAACAAACATTTTGAACCGATTTTCTCTCAACATAAGACTAGTTAATCTCAAGCTACAAAATCCAATAATCAATATGAATCAAAACAATCACTCTTTTTATTTTTTTTATTTATTTACAGTTGCGATCAAAAGATGTATTTATTCAATAAAATGAATCGTGAAAAGCAAAACGAAAATGTTCGTTTGCCAATTTTGCAAATAAATATACATATTACAATACAATAGCCCAAAAGATGTGGAAAACATGAATAAATAAAAATATACACAAAAAAAAAAACTAAAAACACTTTACTCAGATACTTTTTTGGTTCTGCTCATCTAAGACACATAACACAAGCGAAGAGACAAAAAGTGTTCTGCTCAGTGAGAGACCGTGTCTGCGTGGTCTTTTTCTGTTTTATCAGTGACGAGAAAGCAAAGGGAAAAAGTGTTGACCGTTGTTTGCCAGCTATGATTTATTTATAAATAAATCAATTTTATTGCTTTTGACCGCATCTGTTAAGTAAATTTGTATTTGAATTTCAACTGGGCTCGCTATCGCGCGGCCAGCCGGATGCATCGAGCATCGATGTTTTTCTTCCGATGTTTACTGATGTTTTCCGATGTTTTTGCTATCTTGTTATGATCCGCCTCTTTGCCACCCTGGCCTATCGTTCCCAGCTAGCTCACGGTGAAGTCAGGGGTGTTTCCGACCCGATAAGCCAGGGGACGGATTGAACAAAACAAAAACAAAAAAACATACAAAAAAAATAAATCTAACCTATAGGACAGACTTGTCTTCGTAGCAGGGTCCCACCCTTCCATGAGCATTTTCATTCCATTTTGAATTCGCGCGCTCCCTTTTCATATTCAGGGTCCCGCTCTTCTCTCTATCGACATACCCAACTACCGTTTTCTGCTCATTCATGACTACGTTTACTTTCATATTATATCCATGTTATATTTTCTTATTTATCTATTTTTGTAACAATATTAATTATACAAAACGAGGGGGAACGTTGTGAGTTGCTGCGGACACCGCGACTCTACAGTTATACCCGATACTAAGTCAGTATGGCTCTCCTCCGGCAGACGCCGCTAATATTGCACGACACGACAAAGAGTGCGTGCGAGAGACACAGAAAATCAGTCTGAGCGTGACGTCGGGCGCTGCGTAGCCACTGCAAATTGATTTGTTCCTTTGGCTATAAAAATTATCTGATCTGATCCAGATTCAGCAATCTGAGAGATATGGTCATTATCTATGATTCTTCGTTTTTAGTTTTCTCGAATCTGCAATATTGTGGATGGAACAGATTTTCGTCCTTTGTGTGGGCGGAAGGGGGTGGGGCGAAATTTTGACACAAAACGGTCAAGGTCCGATATCACAGGAGTGTGGATACCAAATTTGGTTGCTCTAGCCCTTATGGGTTCTGAGATCCTTGAACTCATATTTTGTAATTGGCAAAACCGACCATGAAACCTGTGTGTTAGAGAGAGACAGAGCGAGAAAGAATGAAATTGTTTTCTTGATTCTGGCTATAATAATTATACGATCTGGTTCAGATTTTGCACTATAGAAGATATAGTCATCTTCTACGATTCTGCGTTGTTAGTTTTCTCGTATCGTCGAAATTGTGGACGCCACAGATTTTCGCCCTTTGTGAGGGCGGAAGTGGTCTTATATAGTCTTTGGTCTTATAGTCTTTGAGCACTAGGCGCTGAAGGGGACGGACAGACGGACACACGGACAGACGGGCGGACAGACGGACAGGGCTCAATCTACTCGGCTATTGATGCTGATCAATAATATATATACTTTATAGGGTCGGAAACGATTCTTTCTGGACGTTACACACATCCACTTTTACCACATTTTGAGTATCGGGTATAAAAATACTAACAGAAAAATTAACCCTATCTCGGCCGAATTGGCAGCCCCATTTAAAGTTGTCGCTTCCTTAATCTCGCGGATGTTTATGTTTGATCGTGGTTTGTTTTTCTCGTTTTTATTGTGGTAATTTTATTTAACTGTGGGTCGGTCGGGTGTATGTATGTGTGTAATGGGGGGGTTGTAATGTGTTGTGAATGGGAGTATACGTGCGTGGGTGATGTGTGGTGATTTTTTCCTCGTCCCCGTTTTCTTTTCTCCCCCGCAACGCAGCCACTGCTTCCTAGGATCCACAATAGATGCCGCTGTCTTTTTCTTCTCCAGCCCTGATAACTATCGGCTTTCTCCAAAACCGCCCATAACAATCTTTTTTCCATATCTTTTTTGTTGTGCGATGAATAAGTTTTGTTTTTATTACACATTTTTTTTTATCAGAATTTGCTGAAACACCCGCTACATATATGTAAATCACAATTAACGATAAGTTTGTAGTAAAGTTGGCGCCGCCCAGAAAAAAATCGGAGACAATTTCATTGACACCCACAATGGCTTGCAGGGGCAGCCCATTGTTCTTTGTGTTTCTCCGTAAAAACTTTCTATATTTGCGATTCAATTTGGTGCCTTTACTGTGTATCTTTATTGGGTCTGCGGCTGTGCTATGTGGATATTTGCACTGGTCGGTGAGACCTGTGAAGCACAACTTGGAGGAGCTCGAACCAAAAGACTACGTGAGTAGTGTAGATAAGAGTGACGTTGCAATCAGCTTTTATTGATTATTAACGCTCATCTACTTTGTTTAGGATGTACTGAAACAACTTTACTTCCCTGCAAACGACCTGGACTATATATATTTTGCACCCAGCAGTAACAATGTCGATGATATTATGGACATGGTGCGACAGGAGCTGGAGATCCCTGCAGAGCGTGAGTCTCTCTTAATTTTTGAAGGCATCCGCCGGTCCGGAATACACACAATTTTGCCCCGCAGGTTTCCGTATCTACAACATTAGCTCCGATATGCAGCTGGACATGGAACAGAACTGCCTGGGCAACTGTTTCGCAATCAACTTTAAACAAGTGCCCAACCGGGGCTCTGTTGGACGGCTCGTGTATAGTCTGAGCTCAAATCAAATGCGAATTTCGCCCAAGAAACGATTCGTGAATGATGAAGAGATAAATCATCAGAAGGGTGCGTACATTTTTTCCGAGTTTTTCTTTTTTTAAGATGGTTTAACGAACTCTCGTCTTTGTCATGCCCGCTTTCAGATGACGACGACTACATACGGGTGGGTTTTCTGACGCTGCAGCACATATTGGACCGCCAGTATATGAAGTATCAGGAACTAAACCCCAACTATGAGCTCCTGCTTAGTTCCATGCCCAACCTGGAGGTTAGCAGCATGGACAGCCATCGTCTGACCTACTTTGGCACACTATGCAGCATCCTCTTCAATGTCGTCCTGCTGAGCACTTTTGTTGTCCCTTTTGTGGAGGAAAAACAGAACGGACTCAAGGAGTTTCTAAATCTAGTCACTCCAATGAGTTTCCTGAATGGCCTCACCTTCTTTTTCATTCGCTTTATCTGCTATGCAGCGCTCCTTCTATTTGTCCTTATCGCCGCCTACTTTTACGAGGCTCTGGGCCTGATTGGCTTCGCTTACATCGCTGTTTTGTATCTGCTTTACATATTGGCCACTATGTCGTACGCGTACTTAATCTCCGTGTGCTTTCACTCTGGTAAGGACTGCCCTCCGATAAATCCCACAGAATACTCCATGCGGATGTCTTCTCCATTATCATTTTCAGTTTTCTACGCGAAAATTGGCGGCCTGGTGATGCTGATCATTCCCTACGTGTTCAGTTTTGTCCGCAGCTGGGTCACCTCTGTGGCCTTTTTCCTGTTTAGCACCAATGCCTTCCTTGAGGGCTTGGATGTGTTCCAGACCTTCTCCAACAAACGTAGGCATCTGCAGCAGCGGCAGCCTTCGCTTGAGCTTTCATTCCTCACATTCTGCTCTATTATTCTTTCACAGATCGCCACTTTGGGGCAGCGGATCTTTTCCGTGAGATCAAAGATGACTCCACCCGCATGTTCTGGATCTACTGTTCACTCATTGCTCAATCCATCCTCTACGCTCTGCTTTACAACTATATGACCTGTGTTTTCCCCGGTCCTGGGGGACTCAAGCGTCCTTTTCTGTTCTTCCTGGATGTAATTGTGGCATATCTTATAATTAAAAGGATAACTTCATTCGTCCTAATTCCAGCCCAATACGTACAAAAAGCGACAACGCAATGAGTACACAACTGCACCGCGTGGAACCCATGCCATCATCATATCGGAACTGTGCAAGAAGTTCCAGACAAGTAAACGCGAAACGCTTATTTCGGACAATCTAAATATGACGATTAACAACAAGGAGATCACTGTTCTCTTGGGCCACAACGGAGCCGGAAAGACAACGATGATGAACATGATTATGGGTTCGATCTTTGATTCACCATCTGCCCCTTATCAGGGTCCATATTGACCTTCCTCTCGGCATTGTTTAGGTCTGGTCCCGAAGGATGCGGGCAAGATTGTTGTCTGTAGCGAGCGCGATGTGGCCTCGTATCGCCACCTGATTGGGTTCTGTCCCCAGCACAGTGTTTTCATGAGCTACATGACGTGTCATCAGCATTTGGAGTTCTTTGCCCAGCTGCGCGGGTCACGCCGCTCGGATGCGTGTCTTTGGGCTGATACCAAGCTCAAAAAACTGGGCCTCAAAGAGAAACGCGACGAGTATGGGCGCAATTTGTCAGGGGGAATGAAGAGGCGCCTGTCGCTGGGCATTGCCATTGCAGGAAACACAAAGTAAGTGATACTCGTAGAATTCTAGAAAACCGAACTTAAAGTGTTCTTGTCCGCTGCTCAGAATTGTGATTCTGGACGAGCCCTCGTCTGGACTGGACATCGAGTCCCGACGCCAGTTGTGGGACATCCTGTTGAATCTGCGCAAGGAGAAGGCCATTCTGGTCACCACCCACTACATGGAGGAGGCCGAAGTGCTGGGTGACACCATCTGCATCTTGGCCAACGGAAAGCTGCAGAGCACTGGCTCCCCTCTGGAACTGAAGCGTAGATTGGGCATCGGGTACCGCCTAAAGCTGGAAGTCACCGATTTCACATTCCGCGAACGTGAAATAATGAAAATTATACTCGATTACGTTCCGACTGCCCGCGTGCTGGTAAGATTCCACTTCGATGCGCCCTTTATCCAGCGTGTGCAATGATTTTCCTTGAACTTCCCTTAGAATGTGGTGAAGCCGACTGTCTACATTTGCCTGCCGTATGCGTACAAGATGTGTTTCTCGGAAATGCTGCTCAAACTGGAGTCGAGGACAAGTGAGCTGGAAATAAGTACCATTTCTATGACGGATACTTCACTAGAAGATGTTTTTCTAAGGTTGGTTAGAGTTTTAGTTATCCCTGGATAGCCCTTATCTTTTATTTGCTTTTCAGATGTGCGGGAGAGCAGGATCAGGTGGACACTCCAGACGGCTCTCGGAACGATGCGCCCCTGCTGACCGCGCTCTACAAGCGACTACCCAGCCAGCACACTCCGCCCAGCACGTGGCAGCTGTGGCTGGCGGTGTTCTACAAGAAGTGGACGTTCCTTGCCAACGAGTGGTTATATGCTGTCATAATGGTATGAAATGCCCTATCATCAGCGCAGTCGCTCCAGTTGTCTACGCACACAACCGAACTGGAAAATGTTATTGTAACCGATGAACTGGGTTTCTCCTTATCTTTACCAGCTGTCCCTTCCCGTTGTGTGCGTCTCTGGAGCCATTCTCGCTATGCACGCCATGTCTGTTGTGAAGAATGAGGCGGCCCTACCGCTCAAGCTCAGTCAGATGGGCTCTGGAGTAGTTTATATATACAATCCGACGGGCCATCATGCTCAGGTTGAGCAACAGCTGCGGCAGCAGATCGAACTTAGTGGACTCACGGCCAAAACGTTGCAGCTACGCGGAAACAGTGTGAAAAATGGTGAGAGCTCGCGACAATTAACAATATTTGATTTTTGCTTGATTTAAAGTAAGTGAGTATCGGACACCCGGCTGTGTCCACAATCGTAACACCCCGGAAACACCGATGGCTGCGCCGTGTACTGCCTTTTTTACCCATTCGTCGACATTCTGTTCCAAGGTGTAAGTTGACTTCGGATAGAAGGTTGTTAGTGGGTGGGTGTGCGAAATGCACCCAAGGCGGCTCTTGTTGCTGCATTAATCGTAGCTTTAAGCTGGTGGTTAAGCTGGTTTTTAGGTGAGTAACCATATATGAGGAGGCAGAAGTTTACTTTGGATATGATTAGAGATTTGGTGATTTTTACAAGTGAGAGGTGTTTGATAATGCCCAGTGGCTTGGCAAGGTCTATTTTGAGATTATTGATATGAGATGAGGAAGTCTTGGGGTATGCCGTTGGGAAGTGGGAAGGTACTCGAGAGGTTCGGCCACTTTTCACGAGGATTTTTCTCTTTGACATTTAAAATTTTTTTTTATTTGTTGGACAATAGAGTTGATACCTATTTTGTCTAATGCTTTGGTGAAGCCAAGGGAGATTAAGGTTAGATTCGTTCTTACGGCAATGGCTCTGGTGGCTAGGTGGTCTACGTAGAGTGGGCTATCTAGCACCGATTTGCCTCGTTTAAAACATAGTTGGCTGTTGTGGAATAGTTTGTTATTCAAAACAAACCACCATAATAATAATTATAAGCAATAATTAAGTGATATGGGTCTGTAGGATTTTAAGTCTGTTTGTGGTTTTAGAATCGGGAGAACTAGGCTGAGTTTGAGCGATTGTGGGATGTATGAGTTGAGTGTTCTGTTAAAGTCGTTCTAAGGGTGGGGGTGTGGGTTTTTATACCCGATACTCAAAATGAGTATTGGGGTATATTAGATTTGTGGTAAAAGTGTATGTGTGTAACGTCCAGAAGGAATCGTTTCCGACCCCATAAAGTATATATATTCTTGATCAGCATCAATAGCCGAGTCGATTGAGCCATGTCTGTCTGTCCGTCTGTCCGTCCGTCCGTCTGTCCGTCTGTCCGTCCCCTTCAGCGCCTAATGCTCAAAGACTATAAGAGCTAGAGCAACGATGTTTTGGATCCAGACTTCTGTGATATGTCACTGCTACAAAAATATTTCAAAACTTTGCCCCGCCCACTTCCGCCCCCACAAAGGGCGAAAATCTGTGGCATCCACAATTTTAAAGATACGAGAAAACCAAAAACGCAGAATCGTAGAGAATGACGATATCTTTTAGACTGCGGAATCTGAATTGGATCGTATTATTATTATAGCCAGCATCAAGAAAACAATTTCATTTTTTCTCGCCCTGTCTCTCTCTAACACACACGTAGCATAGGCGGCTTTGCTTAGAGTAAAAAATTAGCGCCTAGATCTCAGAGACTATAAAAGCTAGAGCAACCAAATTTGGTATCCACACTCCTAATATATCGGACCGAGACGAGTTTGTTTCAAAATTTCGCCACACCCCCTTCCGCCCCCGCAAAGGATGCAGATCTGGGGATATTCATAAATCTCAGAGACTAGAGTAACCAAATTTGGTATCCGCACTCCTGTTAGATCTCACTATAAAACGTATATCTCAAAATTTTCGTTTTAAGGGTGGGGGTGTGGGTTTTCTAACATTAAGTAGGAGATGTGGAGTACAGTGCTGATGAGAATTCTATAAGGGAAATTTCCTTTTCGATTTCTAGTGCTGATGGCGTTGGGGTATAGTTTAGGCGAAGGAGTTGGCTATTTCGGTTTGGTTGATTGTGTCTGATTGGGTGTGGGGGTTATAGATATTGTTTATATTTTTAGCTGGGTAGAGTCTGCACAGCCGTCTGATATTAGACCATGTTGTGGATGCCTTTGAGTTAGGGTGTATTTGGGTGGTGAACTCAAGGATCGATTTCCGTTTAGCTTCCCTGATTGCTCTTTTAAATTCTATGTTGGTGGCGTTGTTTATGTCCCGTTTGAGTTTTTTCCATTTAGTGACTTTTTCTCTTTTAAGGACTGTTAGCCTTTTTTCCACCAGGGAACGGAACGGGAGAGGGAGAAAGTAGTGTTTTGAGGGATGCAAAAATTATAATTTTTTTAATTATTGCGTTTTCCCTGTTAACGTTGTCGCTTGTTTGGGTAGTGGAGTTGAATTTATGGATGAGTTATTGATGAGATCCCAGTCAGAACTTTTTAGTTTGAAGGACGGTTTTTTTTACGGTCGTCTATTACTTCCCAGAGGAGCTCTGGGGCAATAGTTTCTGATGCTAGGGAGAGATCAATGTTGGTGAATGTTTTATGTGTTGAGAAGTGCGTGGGGGATTTATCGTTTAAGAAAATATAATTGGAATGGTCCAGCAAAGAGTCTAAGGTTTTCCCTCTTAGGTTAGCCTTAGGTGAGCCCCAGTAGGGGTGCCAGCTGTTAAAGTCTTCTAGTACAAGCGTGGAGTCGTTTGTGGTTGGGGTTAGGACGTTTTGTAGGTTGAGGGCATTGAAGGGTTTGTTTAGGGAGATGTAGGATATGATGTTGACTTTGGATTTGATGTTGACCCCTACTGCGTCAAAGTCGGAGTTGAGAGGGATTTGGGTGTGGGATATGGAGTTGTCTATGAGGATGAGGCTGTGCCTCCAAATGCATTAATGTGGCTATGTGGTATTCCCAGTGGTGATATCACAGTATCTGGGAAATTTTGGTTTTTTTGGTTTTCGTAATTTCCTCGAAACCCATTTCTTCTTGGGTGGGTTGCTGGGCTAGTTTGGTTAGGTGTGGGTTTGAGTCTGAGATGTCTGCGAAGTTAGTAGTTAGCCTTTTTTGTTGTGTGATGATGAAGGATGGTTGGGGATGGTTCGTGGTTTTGGTTGTTGGTGATATGCAGCTATCTCGGCGAATTGTGGATTGGTGTGTGTTGCGTTAAAAATATATATTATATTTTTTTTTCAGTTATGAAGTCCACTTTCTCTGATGATTTCATTATGGCTCTCTTTTTCCTTTAGAAATTCAGGTCATTTGGGGTCTAGTGGGCTGTAGTTATTTTGGATGTTAGTGTTGTTGTTGCAGTTGCTGCAGAATTTCGGGTTAGAGCATTAATCGTCGTCCGCGGGGTGCACTTCAGAGCAGCTTTTCCAGATTTTGGTGGTTTTGCAGTATTTAGTTGGCAATTATTGCATTTGAGGGGGCGTGGTTGGGGGCGAACGTTTACTCGTTCGTATCGTATCATAATATGCTGGGGCAGTGTTGGCGTGTCGAATGTGAGGATGATAACTCCGGTTTCTTGAAGCTAGCCGTCTTTGAGTTTGAGAATTTTGGTGGCGTTGATGACCTTTTGTGTTTTGAGTTCGTTTTTGATGACTGTTCGGGCCAGCCGCTGAAGAATAACCGTAACTTTAAGCATTATTATTGTATGAGCAGAGAGAGCCGCCTATGTTGTAAAACGTTGACTTTCTGCAGAGCTGCTGCGCTCTCCCGCTAAAGGGGCTCTCTGCCGCCGCCACTTCGGCAATCACTTTGATCTAACGCCGTCGTCTATTTTTAGTTCTATGCTAACCCCTCTGCGCATTGGTTGCATATCGATCTCGCATAAATTTTATCTGGCCATAGCAAGCAATCGGCTTCCGCTAAGCCACCAAGATTAAATACGAATTATAAGGTTTAACCCAAATTCTCTTTTCATTTTGAAACACATACATAGGTGCCAAAAAAGCATGTCATCTCAAACAATGACTATATCGATGTTGTGGAAATCGATGGAGTAGATGACACTTTCTGAGGAGTTAAGGGTTTTGTGTTCTGATGCTTTTACAGAAAGATCGTTGAGTTTTACGATTTTTAGGAGCTTTGTTGCCTTTCGATTGAAAGTCGCGCTGGTTTCATGATTTTCAATGAGTTTATTATTACATGTACTTTTTTTTGCAGAGCTCCTCGAATTGCAACGCGACAACTTGGCGGATTTCCTGGAACAGGTGGTGGGCGCTATCGACATGTACGGCGGGGGCCGGGGCACTGGAGGAACTCCGCAGATAGAAATCTTTTACGCGGGCAATCGCTACCACAGCTCAGTGGAGCTGATCAACTTTCTGGACTCCAGCATGCTGAAGATGGTCAGCCCAGAGTCGGACATTGAAACCACGTATGTGCCGATTCGACGCTTCATCAGCGACATCAGTCCCACGCGATTGGAGTACTATGTGGTGATCGTGTCCGTGGGAATGTTCTTCTGCATGTTCTACTTCATTTCGCTACCCTTCCGAGAGCACGACAACGGCTTCCGCCAGCTCCAGACCATGTCACGCTACACCTTCTGGCTGTCCACCTTTGTGTTCGACGTCCTGCTGCTGGTCCTCCTCTGTGTGGCGCTTTTTGTGCTTCAGAACTGGCTGATGCCTTCGGAGCTCTACTCCACCTCAGAACTGAGAATCATTGTTATGAGCATATTCTTCTACGGCTGCAGCTACCTGCCCATTCTGTACTCGCTGGCCAATAACTTCAAGTCCATATCGACGATATCCACCTACCTGCTGCTGATGCTGATTGTGTCCGGTAATATTAGACCTCCTTAGCTCCCTCCCATCCTCCTGATCTGAATACTATTTATGTGCCCTTCTAGCAATTGCTCCTCTGATCACCTCCAACAATGCGCAGTCCATAAAACTGCACGAGACGAAGATAGCCTTCCTCTGCTTCCTGCCCGACTTCAATCTGAACCACCAGCTGCGCATCATCAATGAGAATTTCATTGCTAACCGACGCTCTGTACCCACCGCCCATTTGCTTTCGACGGATACGTTCTTTGTCTATGCCATGGCCGTCTGCGTGCTGGTCTTTTCATTCTTCACCATCGTTTTGGAGCACAAGTACCTCCGCCAACGGGTCCACGATGCCATCTGGATGAACAGGTGCCTGGTCACCTTGAAGAAGAACAGCTCGACGGGCACCAGTTCTAGCACCCAGCTCACGGTCGTTGACGACTGTGCCAACGAAGAGCGTCGAGTGGAGGCGCTCATGGTCGATCCGACGCAGGAGTGTCCCTTGATCGTCAGCAAAGTGCGCAAGCGGTACCACAAGAAAGTGGTGGTGGATGGAATCAGTTTTGCCGCCTCTAGAGGCGAATGCTTTGGCCTCTTAGGCATCAATGGAGCCGGAAAGACGAGCACATTCGAAATGATTGCCGCCAATCTGCCTCTGGACGGAGGGAGCATACGAATCGATGGCATCGATATTCGAAAGGACGAAGTAGGCTATCGCCATCGTTTCGGCTACTGCCCCCAGTACGATGCCCTGAATAAGTTTATGACCGCCGAACAATGTCTCCACTATATGGCCCTCCTGCGGGGACTGAGCACCACCAGCGAAGGACCGAGTAGCGTGACGGAAAACGTGAAATACTGGCTCGAAAAAATGCACCTGACCAAGTATCAACAGGTCCAGGTGCGACATTATTCGGGGGGGACGAAGCGCAAACTGATGGCTGCCATGGCGATGATCGGGGCCCCGACACTGGTTCTCCTAGACGAGCCCACGACTGGCGTGGATCCCATTTCCAGACGCTTTCTGTGGGAGTGCATCAAGGACTTTCAGGGCCAGGAGCGCACTGTGGTGCTTACTTCACACAGGTAGGGAACGGCTGAGAATTTGGATTAAATCAATTTTCAATTACATATAATTTTGATTTCCAGCATGGACGAGTGTGAGGAGCTGTGTAATCGCCTGGCCATCATGGCCAATGGGAAATTCAAGTGCCTGAATACCATCTGCGCCTTGAAGAGACTGAGCGGCTTCACCATAAAACTTAAGATGAAACTAGACACGGAAACGGAGCAGAACGTGGACACTATCACAAATACCCTGAAGGCGCAGTTTGAGGGTCTGGAGTTGCGCGAGAATCATGCCGGAACCCTAACCTACTTTGTTAGCACCCAGGAGAACTTGGTCTATTGGTCGAGGGTGTTTAGGATAACCGAGGACCATCTGACCGACAGATTGGGCCACATCGTGGCGGACTACTCGCTGAATGAGTGCACTTTGGAAGATATTTTTCTCAAATTCGACAAAAAATCGAAGACCCCACCCTCATCGCAAACATCGTCGCGCAACTCCCCAGTCCAACACAACCCTGACGCGTCCGACTTTGTTTGATTCGGGCCTAAAGGCAGGCACAGGCACTGAGCACAAGACTGCTGTTGGGGAGGGCTTCGTTTACTTTTCCCTGACATCATTGTTCAATTGTTTAGCCAGAACACAGAACAGAACCACTTACAATACCCGATACATGTTCATGACTTTTCAGTTTAAACACCTGTAAAATCTTTAAAAATGCCTCAATCCTTGTGATTTTTTTTTCATAGAATGAAAAAAGACTATAATTTATTCAAAGAGATCTTTTTCCTTAAGAGATTTTAAATTGCTAAAAAAAAATTGCATGTATCCACTTTTGCACGTTTTAAATTTGTTTACTTTAATCATTTTTTAAAAATATTTGTTCCAAAGGGCCTTAGCTTTTATCATATTCCGAAAATTGTTTGCCAAAACCAGTTCGAAATATGATAAAAGCTTATGACCTTTGTAACAAATATTTTTTAAAAATGATTAAAGTAAACAAATTTGTAACGTGCAAAAGTGGATACATGCAATTTTTTTTTTAGCAATTTAAAATCTCTTAAGGAAAAAGATCTCTTTGAATAAATTATTGTCTTTTTCATTCTCACTAGATTTAAGAATCTATGAAAAAAAATCACAAAGATTTATGCATTTTTAAAGATTTTACTGGCGTTCAAACTGAAAAGTGATGAACATGTATCCACATGTGCTCGGCACTGTACGGTACTTAGTGGCGTCCACACAGGATTAAAGTGGGATAAAACCCACCTTCTTTCTGCCCTGTCTCTGCGGAAGGAAAGTAGTCTGAAACTTGTTTCAGTTAAGAGACAAACAGTCATCCGATTGCGACGCATGCACATCTGTATATATCTCATACACAAAATCCCACCCGGTTGTTGGTGATGGTATGTTCCGAATGTTCATATCGACCAAGCTATGGAAGTATTCCCTTCTGTTCCACGAATAAAGTAAAGTAAACCCTTGTGTGTACTCTGTGAGTAAGAGGTCCAAAGAATCTCAGGCTAATCCCTTAGACAGTAACTTGAGCTCAGGGGCTGTCGTGCCTGTCGGAACTTCTACTTAAATTATGTACATAATTTGAAGACCCACTTGCATACACACATATATCAAAGATATTGACTTTAATCGGTAAAAATAAAGCACATGTATTTACACTCGGAATTCCGCGGGAGTTATCTTTAGGATTCCGCCAGCTATGTGCGGCGGCAGACAGCACGCAAGTCTTTTTTAACGACATCTCGAAATGCTCTCCACTTTCAGGGAGCTTGAATCTGCATCAAACACAACAGGTAAATTACAAAAATCTTAATAATAAGCTAACCATAAAAACTCATCAAAATAAAAGATAACTGTATTTTATTGATATATGTTTTTGAATTTGTAATTAAAGTAATGACATGATTTTATCCCCATAAATTTATACAAAAAAATTGGATGATATAACAAAATCCGATTTCTCGATAAACATTAACAAATATTACAATCAAAAAACAAATTTTGTATGCCAAAAAAAGTAAATGAAATTTGAAAAAAGCTAGATTTCAAGCTACATATAATACAACATATTTGGTTATAAAATAAGCCAAATCTAGCTAAATATACCGTCCGACCCTCAGAAATATACCAAACTATACCGTTTCATCACTAACCATATAGTATACAGTATACTGTATGGTTAGTGGTTTCATTTTACAAATATACCGTAAATATACTGACGAATTCAATGAGGTATATTTCTGAGGGTCAGTCACATTAAGCGGCAGTCAAATACAAAAACAAAATAAAAATAAATAAAAACAACGTCAAGCTGCTGGAGCCATATCCACGGCCATGGCGCGTAGTAAAGTATGGAAATATTACGATAAGTTACACAACAACACGGCGCAATGTCAGCTCTGCGAAAAGATCATCAAAACTTCCGGAAACACGTCCAACTTGATGAAGCACATAAAGACCCATCCGCAGATGTAAGTACTTCCTTCGAAATATAGCGTCTCCACGGAGGGCTGATGAGCTAACTTTGTAAATTGCAGAGATATCGATAATAAGGAATCTGTTGTGGTGCGTGGCATGTGCAAGCGTGAGTCCCATGTGATAAAAAGGAAAATAAAAAAGTCTCCGCCTTACGAGGGGCGGTCCTTGTTCCAGGAGCAATATCACAATACCAGTGAGCCTATAATCAAACCCAAAGGGGAGCCAGATAATATTATAGAGCTAGATGATGCCTCTTGTCGGGCAATTGAACAGGAACAGGGCGCTGGCTTCTGGACGACTGGTGCAGAGACAGTCAGTGCCGAGGACATTATAGAATTCGAGCCTAAGGTGGCAAACGATAACCTATTCGAAATACAGGATCTACCGCTGGCCGACGCAGAGGAAGAAATCGCGTAAGTCACGGCCTGGAAGATAATTTGCGAATGCCAGCAATAGTAAAATATTATTTGCAGCAACTTTCACAGCAACCTGGACGCTAGAGTACCAGGCCAGCGTTCGTTTCTTCACAACATGGCTTTCTTCGTCTGCCGTGACAGGCAGCCTCTGCAGATCATGCAGGCCGAGGGATTCAAGCATTTGGTGAGTGCGTTGTGCCCTGGCTCCAAACCTCCCAGCGTGAATGAGCTGGAATCGTACATTTGCAATCAGCGACATCTGCATGCATCGAAGCTGCGCAAACAACTAGCACGACTGGCAACGCTTTCCCTAAGCTGTGCCGTTCACACTACACCAGAGGAGCGAAGCCACCTGGTGCTGGTGGTTCACTTCTATGAGGGTCTGGAAAAGCTTTCCAGAACGTTGTCGGTACAAAGCTTGCCTGAGCATTTCAATGCCAGTCAGATTGAGAAGCGGATGGCGCGGGTGTGTCGACGGTTCGACATAAGCAAGGCAAAGATCACCTGCGTGGTGACAAGAGGCTCTCGTCTGCTCGAGGATGCTGTAGCGGCCCTTCTGGGAGATCATCGACATGTGCCCTGCTTCGGATACCTGCTCAACACTATTCTGGAGAACACCATGCTGCGCCCCGAGATTCTTGAATTCTGCGAAAAGGTTCGTCCCTACGTTACATGTTACCTCGACAGTGGGATCCTCCTCTCGCAAAGGAAGCTACATCTGGATGTGAAGCAACGCCCCCTCAGCAAATTTGATATGCTGGAGCGATACACAAAGTACGCCCCGCACCTGCCAAATTATTTGCAACTCGAGATTAGCCCGCCCCTGTCCGAGGAAGAGCTGGAACAGTGTCGGGAGCTGCTGGCAGTCCTGAAGCCGCTGGCCAGCTCGATGAAGGAGCTCAGTCGAGCAGGAGAAACGTCATTTCCCGTGGCTAGCAAGGCCTTGCCCATAGTGTATACCCTCATCAACGAACTGAAGAAGCACCCGAGCTCACCGGAAAATCAGATAACCTATGATCTGCGCTTGTTTCTGGTCCATCAGCTGGAGGAGTGCTTTGATAGCATGGAAAAGAATGTTCACCTGGCTATGGCCACTCTGCTGGATCCGCGCTTTCGAAGTATGCCTTTTTGCAGTGCAGAATTGGCGACCCAGTACGTGAGCGATCTGTACGAGATTTTTCAGACACACGTAAAGACTCGAGTGCCAGCCACTGTCAAAGAGGACGCGACCGAAAACTATGACATCTGGGCAGCGTACAAGGTTTTGTCGCAGGAGAAGCACAGCCAGAGCACAGAGCCCAATGACCAAGATGACGAGATCACCAGCTATTTTTGTGGACGAATCAATAGTCTGCAGGAGGAGCCAATGAAGCTGTGGGAAAATCTGATGCATTTGCATCCCTTTCTGCATAGCCTGGCCAAGAAGTACATGCACATTCCGGCCACCGCTGTCCCACCTGCGACTCTGTTTACGGACGCTGGGGCAGCCGTGGAAGAGCAGTACACGAAACTGACTGGCGCTAACATGGAGAACACGCTCTTTATGGCAGATGTTCCACTGGACGAGTGGCAATTGTAGTACATGTCTTGGTACAATTTTAATATTGTAGCAAATAGTTCTTAAAATATTACGCGTCCTATTAAATCAGCCATTTTAAAGTGCTACTCTATTGATAACGCTTTCTAGCTTGGAAGTATGTAGAAGAGGCAAGTCAAGTAGAAAATTGATGTATTGATCGCATTGATGCACCGTGGCATGGTGGAAAGTTCTATCTAGCTAGTAATATTCCACGGAAGATCAAAAACGAGGAATATGTAAAATATAACTTGAATTCGTCAGTATACTTACGGCATATTTTTTAAATGAGACGGTATGTTTCGGTATATTTCTGAGGGTCGGACGGTATATTTTATCGATAAGGCCGCGGTCACACTACTCCAGCTATACTTTCTATGTGGAATAAAAAGTGAAATATTTCAATATGCACATGCATATAACACACAAATAACACGCCGCATGCCGAGTTTTGACATCGAGCATTCGAGGAATACCACAGATTACGCAGACCAGCCAGCAGCGAAAGTTGCTGTCGTTTCCGCAATCTGCTGAACAACACACAGAAAGCTATAGCAAGGGCGAGGGCAACGGGTGAGAGCAGCAGCAAGAAGAGGGCCACTTGGACAACTCGGGATAAAAACATAAAGGTCGACCTTGGGAGTTGCATATGCACAATATGCAAAGTAACTCCACGAAAACCAAGGAAATGTTTATTGTGCGTGCTCTAGAGAAAATCCTTGCCGACAAGGACATACGGCGCTCCCACCACTCGCAGCTGAAGAAGTCCTGCGACTCGGCACTCGAGCAGATCAAGGCGGAGCTGATCAGCGCCGGCCAGATTGCCGAGGGCAATGAGCTGCCCTGCGCTGCCCTCCCGTTGCCAAAGAACGATGCGGCCAGCATCATCAACGCCGAGACCTACTTCCTGCCCTTTGAGCTGGCCTGCAAGAGTCGCTCGCCGCGCATCGTGGTCACAGCCCTGGACTGCCTGCAAAAGCTGATCGCCTACGGACATCTGACGGGCTCCATCCAGGACTCGGCCAACCCCGGCCACCTGCTCATCGATCGCATTGTCATCACCATATACGGCTGCTTTAGCGGGCCCCAGACGGACGAGGGTGTCCAGCTGCAGATCATCAAGGCTTTGCTCACTGTCGTTACCTCTCAGCATGTCGAGATCCACGAGTTCACGCTCCTCCAGGCTGTGCGCACCTGCTATGACATTTACCTGTCCAGCAAGAACCTAGTCAACCAGACCACAGCGCGGGCGACACTCACCCAAATGCTAAATGTCATATTTGCCCGCATGGAGAACCAGGTGTACGAGGTGCCCCCGCAGCCGCCCCCGCCATCTGAAGACTGCAATGGTGAGGAGCCGCTGGCGGATACTGACGAAGTCATTGCCTCGGAGCTGCTGGCTGAGATCATATCAGGTGCGTGGCAACTATGAATTGATAAGCAGGCAGGAAGCAGTTAATTAGCGATGATACAGATCGCTGCTATTATGTGCCACATAATATGTTCAATCTACTCCTGCCTGTTTACACAATTATTGGTTATGGAATAACATCTATTTGTTGTTTTACAGCTGCGTACAATGAGGCCATGAAAGATCAGAACGCCCCCGAAGCGGAGACGATTGTGAACGGCAACGACTCCTCGTCGCATTCGGATCCCGAAAGCGTTGAGCTGCACAACGAGAACGATGCCGTTGTCACGGCCAAGTTCACCCACATTCTGCAGAAGGATGCCTTTCTTGTGTTTCGATCGCTGTGCAAGCTCTCGATGAAGCCCCTGCCGGATGGGCAGCCGGATCCAAAGTCGCACGAGCTGCGCTCCAAGGTGCTGTCGCTGCATTTGCTGCTTTTGATACTGCAGAACGCCGGGCCCGTCTTCCGGTCCAACGAGATGTTCGTCATGGCCATCAAGCAGTATCTGTGCGTCGCCTTGTCCAACAATGGGGTCAGTTTGGTGCCTGAGGTGTTTGAGCTGTCGCTGTCGATCTTCGTGGCCTTGCTGTCCAACTTCAAGGTGCACTTGAAGCGGCAGATCGAGGTCTTCTTCAAGGAGATATTCCTCAACATTCTGGAGGCGAACTCGAGCAGCTTCGAGCACAAGTGGATGGTCATCCAGGCGCTGACACGCATCTGTGCAGACGCCCAGTCTGTGGTGGATATCTATGTGAACTACGACTGTGATTTCTCGGCGGCCAATCTGTTCGAGCGGCTGGTCAACGACCTGTCCAAGATTGCCCAGGGCAGGCAGGCCCTCGAGCTGGGGGCCAATCCGATGCAGGAGAAGTCTATGCGCATCCGGGGCCTGGAGTGCCTCGTCTCCATACTCAAGTGCATGGTGGAGTGGAGCAAGGATCTGTATGTGAACCCAAACATGCCCGTCCCGGCCCTGCAGGTGCAGTCCCCGACTGCGACAGAGGACCATTCGACGGACAACACCATACAGACCGCGTACAGTGGTTCCAGCCACAGTCTCAACTCCAACCAGGAGCAGCTTCAGGACCTACCCGAAGCGCTGGAGGAGCGCAAGATGCGCAAGGAGGTGATGGAAACGGGAATTGAGCTCTTCAACCGGAAGCCCCAGAAGGGAGTGCAGTTTTTACAGGAGAAGCAGCTGCTGGGAGCCACCTGCACGGACATTGCCCGGTGGCTGCACGACGACGAGCGCCTGGACAAGACCGTCATCGGCAACTATCTGGGCGAGAACGATGACCATTCGAAGGAGGTGATGTGCGCTTACATCGATGCCTTCAACTTCCGCCAGATGGAGGTGGTGGCCGCCCTGAGGATACTCCTCGAGGAGTTCCGTCTGCCAGGCGAGGCGCAGAAGATCGACCGCCTGATGGAGAAGTTCGCCAGCAGGTACTGCGAGTGCAATCCGCAAAACCAATTGTTCCAGAGCGCCGACACGGTGTACGTGCTGGCATTCAGCATTATCATGCTGACGACGGACCTGCACTCGCCGCAGGTCAAGCACAAGATGACCAAGGAGCAGTACATCAAAATGAACAGAGGAATCAGCGACAGCAAGGCAGACCTGCCCGAGGAGTATCTGTCCTCCATCTACGACGAGATTTCAGAGCACGAGATCAAGATGAAGAACAACTCGGGTATGCTGCAGCCCAAGCCCAGTGGCAAGCAACCCTTCATTACAGAGAAGCGGCGCAAGCTGCTCTGGAACATGGAGATGGAGGTCATTTCCCTGACGGCCACCAACCTCATGCAGTCCGTATCGCACGTCAAGTCCCCCTTCACATCGGCCAAGCACCTGGAGCACGTGCGTCCTATGTTCAAGATGGCCTGGACCCCCTTCCTGGCCGCCTTTTCCGTGGGCCTGCAGGACTGCGACGACCCGGAGATAGCCACACTGTGCCTGGACGGCATCCGCTGCGCCATCAGGATCGCCTGCATCTTCCACATGTCTCTGGAGCGAGATGCCTACGTCCAGGCCCTGGCCAGGTTCACTCTGCTTAACGCCAACTCTCCCATCAACGAGATGAAGGCCAAGAACATCGACACCATCAAGACCCTCATCATGGTGGCCCACACGGACGGCAACTATCTCGGAAGCAGCTGGCTGGACATTGTCAAGTGCATCAGCCAGCTGGAGCTGGCCCAGCTCATTGGCACGGGAGTGCGACCGCAGTTCCTGTCGGGTGCCCAGACCACGCTCAAGGACTCGCTCAACCCAAGCGTAAAGGAGCACATCGGGGAGACGAGCAGCCAGAGCGTTGTGGTGGCTGTCGACCGTATTTTCACGGGCTCCATGCGGCTGGATGGCGATGCCATTGTCGACTTTGTGAAGGCCCTGTGCCAGGTGTCAGTGGACGAGCTTCAGCAGCCGCAGCCCCGCATGTTCTCGCTGCAAAAGATCGTGGAGATAAGCTACTACAACATGGAGCGCATCCGTCTGCAGTGGTCGCGCATCTGGCAGGTGCTGGGCGAGCACTTCAATGCCGTCGGCTGCAACAGCAACGAGGAGATTTCCTTCTTTGCACTTGACTCGCTACGCCAGCTGTCAATGAAGTTTATGGAGAAGGGGGAGTTCAGCAACTTCCGCTTCCAGAAGGACTTTCTGCGCCCCTTCGAGCACATCATGAAGAAGAATGCCTCGCCCGCCATCCGCGACATGGTGGTGCGGTGCATAGCCCAAATGGTGAACTCGCAGGCCCACAACATTCGCTCCGGTTGGAAGAACATCTTCAGCATCTTCCACCTGGCCGCCGGCGACCACGAGGAGCCCATTGTGGAGTTGGCCTTCCAGACCACGGGCAAGATCATCGGCGATCTGTACCACCGCCAGTTCGCCGTCATGGTGGACTCGTTCCAGGACGCCGTCAAGTGCCTCTCGGAGTTTGCCACCGCCCGTTTCCCGGACACCAGCATGGAGGCCATTCGGCTGGTGCGCAACTGCGCCCAGTGCGTGCACGAGGCCCCCCAGCTGTTTGCCGAGCACGCGGGCATGGAGAACGACGCTTCGGTGGCGGAGGAGGATCGGGTATGGGTGCGCGGCTGGTTCCCCATGCTCTTCTCACTCTCCTGCGTGGTGAATCGCTGCAAGCTGGACGTGCGCACGCGCGCCCTTACCGTGCTCTTTGAGATCGTGAAGACCTACGGGGACAGCTTCAAGCCGAACTGGTGGAAGGATTTGTTTAACGTGATCTTCCGCATCTTCGACAACATGAAGCTGCCGGAGCACGTCACCGAGAAGTCCGAGTGGATGACCACCACCTGCAACCATGCCCTCTACGCCATCATCGACGTATTCACCCAGTACTTTGATGTGCTGGGCCACCTGCTGCTCGAGGAGCTATTCGCCCAGCTGCACTGGTGCGTCCAACAGAGTAACGAGCAGCTGGCGCGCTCGGGCACCAACTGTCTAGAGAACCTGGTAATCTCCAACGGGTTCAAGTTCAATGAGGTCACCTGGGATAAGACGTGCCAGTGCATCCTGGACATCTTCAACGCCACGCTGCCTCAGGAGCTGCTCAGCTGGCGACCCAAGGCACACTCCAGCCACCCCACCTCCCTGCAGGAGCACAATCACTTCGAGGCTCTGCATATCCGGTGCGTGGTGCAGCTGGAGCTGATCCAAACCAT